CATAGAAAATATGTTTTTTTTTTTAAATGTATGTATCATCTTTCTTTTAACGATGTCACAATATGCATCCATATCATTTTTAGACCAAATTCAATGAAAACAAGCCATTTCATTTTTGTTTTTCAGGACTAATAAACTGCTTCGCTGAGCGCAGCTGGATACGCCCGCAGAGGTCCAACCCTGAACAGTTGGGGCAAAAATGCACACAATATTCAAGCTTGATACAGGTCTGAATTTGGATTGAAATTAAATATTTGACATATTATAGGTTTCTGAATAAATGTAGTCAAAGAACTTGAAATTGGTTATATGAATTGAATTTATATTCAATTAAAGATTTCTTGCTGTTGTGCAATACACTGTGCTGTTGCGCAATACTTAGTAAATCTGTTGTCAGACTATAAACAAATAAAGGGAGGTTATCTTAATAGATATAAACCAGGCACGAAAGTTTAATGAAAACTGCTAAAAACACTTTAAAGGTATTGTCAAAAAACTGGAAAATCCCCCTTTTTTTAATGAATAAAACCCCATTACTCGGAAACATAAAATCTAAAATTTATAAAAATCAAAAGGCAGCTTACATCAATAGATATAAACAATTCACCAAAGTTTCATGAGAACTGCTGAAAGCATTTTTTAGTTATAGTCCGAAAACTGGAAAATCCCCCTTTTTTTAATGAATAAAACCCCACAACTCGGAAACGAAAAATCTAAAATTTATAAAAATCAAAAAGGAGCTTACATCAATAGATATAAACAATTCACCAAGGTTTCATGAGAACTGCTGAAAGCATTTTTGAGTTATTGTCCGAAAACTGGAAAATCCCCCTTTTTTTAATGAATAAAACTTAATAACTCAAAAACGTAAAATCTAAAATTTATAAAAATCGAAAGGGAGCTTATGTCAATAGATAAAAACAATTGACCAAAGTTTCTTGCAAATTGGAGAAAGCATTTTTTAGTTATTGTCCGAAAACTGGAAACACCCCCTTTTTATAATGAATAAAACCCCATTTCTCTGAAACCTAAACTCTAAAATTTATGAAAAAACGAAAGGGAGCTTTTGTCAATAGATATATACAATTCACCAAAGTTTTATGCAAATTGGGTAAAGCGTTTTTGAGTTAATGTCCGACATATTGACGACGGACGGACGAACAGACGGAGGGACAGACAGTACGACAGACGGACGGAAAGACAGTCAACGGTATACCATAATATGTCCCGTAAACAGGCGTATAAAAACATTATATAAATAAAATCCTACAGAGTCCCTACATATAGGAACATGCATCGACAAGAAAGATCTTGTACAAGTGTAACATTATTATATTTGTTATTACAAATAATAAAACCAACTTAAATATTTAGTATGTCTAACACCGCACTTTTAAGCCTCTATCTTGCCTAAATTTGGTTGAAAACCAGAAAAATGTATCGACTTTCATGAAGATCCCTAATCTTTGCCTATTTTGGGTGTAAACTTCAACCTTTCATTAGAAATTTTTTACAATATAGTACTTCATGTTTTTTACTTTCTCACAGGTTTATTTATTAACTTGAAATACTTTTTATCCTTGGAATAATGGTAGCCTGATATAATTTACTAGATACATTCACTTAACCCTGTGTCTGCTAGTCTCCCATCAGCAGTACAAGATTCCGTCCCAACTACTAATTTACTAGAAACTGAGCAGGCAAGGAGTGATTCATTTCTGGCAGAATTAATGCATAGAAATGTGCAGGAATTAATATTTCTTAAGTTCTTTAATCTGTAAATTTTGAAATTCTAATGTTAGGAAGACAAAATAGTTTTAGAACTTGAAAATCAACAATTTTTTGGATAAACATCAAGATTGTGTGAAGAATTAGTTATTTGTATTAACTAGTAAAAACATGTGATAATGAGTTTCCAATCTAATATAAAAATCAATTTGCGTAATACATTTTAACATTGCAAGAGGGAATAAACAATGGGGTCTTCGGAGAGTTATTGTCTAGTCTGTCTCTCAAACCACCATTTATCCTACATTTGCTTGTACTGTGCTGCCAGTGATACCTGCTAATTTTCTGTTCGATTATCAGACGAAGGGTCATCTTTACAGTATTGGCCTCTTTGCTGAAATCAAGGAGGTTATACCTCCTTGCTGAAATCAAGAACTATTGTACAAAATTGCAGATGGGCTCTCCCTGCTATTCCATTAAACTGTGCTACCCTGTGCAATCCAAATTAATTAATCATTATTTAAAATTAAGAAGATGTATGATTCCCAATGAAACAACTCTCCACCAGAAACCAAATGAGGTAAAAGTCAGCCATTATAGGTCACTGTACAGCCTTCAATAATGAGCAAAACCCATACTGCATAGCAAGCTATATTGGGGCCCCGAAATGACAAATGTAATACAATTCAAACCAGAAAACTTACAGCCTGATTAATCATTTATGTGAAAAATAATGAACAAAAAACAACTATGATATACAGTACGCGCAGAGAGTGAAGATTCGAAAACTCTTTCCACCGATTTCCGAGTATAGCAGTGTGACACTGTGAATCAAGTATTTCACTCCCAATTTCAATCTGGCTGTAAATTGGTTTATTGCCCATCGGATATACTAAAAATTAACAATGCGTAACTACATAATTGGATTAACCAGATTATTTACCTATGTACATTTAATCGATCTTGATTGTGTGCACAATACTGTATTCAATCATAATAATAAAAGATTTTCTTTAGACCGATAAGAAGGGACATCATCATTCAGAAAAAGATAATTATTATTATATGTTTTTGACCCATGTCATTGTCATTTTTAAAACATAAGAATTAATAAAAATATGAAAAAACACTTGTTATTTTGTATTTCTATTAGTTTGATCAGGTCATACGTTGTGTTTAAAATTATGAAAGTGAAGAAAATTCAATTTGTTTACATGTACATGCAATATTGATTTGTTCGTTCAGGAAATCGGATTTCATTCATCCTGTTCATATGTTATCTACGGGTTTCAGGGAATATTGCAATGAAAGCAAGATGAATTTGATATTCTAAATATATGGGAAATTCCCAATTTTCGAATAAAGATTTGTATCTTTTGTAGGTATATATTTTATTTTTTGAAACGATTTCAATATTTGTGTTCTTGAATATACAGTCACGTAAACAATAGGATATTTGTCGCCCTGTTGTTTTGAGATCATTCTTTTAACAAAGACACTTTCACCCCAATTAGAAACTTTATGCATTAATTGTTCACTAGGAAAAAATCAACTGGCTTCAAAACAAATTGTTTTACTGTTACTTGTCCAGGCTATTAAAACAATAATCTGTTAACACAGAGATATGTCTCGCCTATTTGTTATTTTGATAATGCAAATGTTGAAATTAAAATAGCAATACTTTAACATGTAAGTTATGCAAATATTCAAAGTCAATGAACCATGACTGAAGGTACAGGGCTAAACAATCTCCATGGAAATGAGATGTGCCAATGCTAATACAACTGCAAACCAAATACCATTGACTTTTCATTAGTCATTCCCTTTAAACAAACCTAAACACAAACATTAACTTGTAAACTATGCAAAAGTTTCAAAGTCAATGAACCATAATTAGGGGGTGGGTTTATATAATCTCCATGGAAATGAAACTTGCAATTGCCAATACATTTGCATACCGAATATCATTGACTTAACATTAGTGGTTCATCTTAAACTGAACTAATCACAAACTAATACATGTAAACTAAGCAAAAGTTTCAAAGTCAATAGACCATGACTGAGGGGTAGGGACCAAATATTCTCCATGGAAATGAGATGTGCTAATGCTTATACAACTGCAAACCAATTATCATTGACCTACCACTAACGGTTCCCCTTAAACTGACCTAATCACAAACTTATACATGAAAACTAAGCAAAAGTTTCAAAGTCAATAGACCATGAATGAGGGGGCGGGGCCAAATAATCTCCATGGAAATGAGATATGCCAATGCTTATACAACTGCATAAAAAATATCATTGACTTACCACTAGTGATTCCCCATAAACTGACCTAATCACAAACTAATACATGTAAACTAAGCAAAGTTTCAAAGTCAATAGACCTTGACTGAGGGGGTGGGGCCAAATAATCTCCATGGTAATGAGATGTGCCAATGCTAATACAACTGCATACCAAATATCATTGACCTACCACTAGTGGTTCACCATGAACTAGACTTAATCACAAACTAATACATTGTTGATGCCGCCGCCGCCGGAAACAGCATACCTATGTCTCGCTTTTTGACTCCGTCAAGGCGAGACAACAAAGTATATATCTAATCATCACGTGAACTCATTCTTGATTTATTTTGCTATGTTTCAACTTGTCTTTACGTACCTTTCTTGAATTATTTGAGTTTCGACAGCTCGGGTGAACAAAAGGATCAAATTTTGTGTGGCCCTTTGTTTTGAAAATATGAACAGATGCTATAGTCTTGATTAGCATTTTGGGAAATTTCCCACCAGAGCCATAACACAACTTTACTATGATTAATTATATGAAAAAAATACACGCGTTTACCTCTGTTAACGATCTTAAACTATATAAACTGGATGAGCATAATCAAGGACATATATTAGTTATAAATCCTTGGCGTAATTAAAAAAATTAACTGATCTGAACATATTATCACTGAGAATCTCAATCAACACCCTACTGAATGATATGCACCGTATTTTAATCAATCTTAAAAGAAAATAGTTGATTGATAAATTTTTTTTTAAAAAGTTAAAGAATACTTGTTCCTTTAATTTGAAAAAGGACTATACTTTAGATTTTTTGTAAATTTAAATAGTAAAGGGACGTTCAAGAGCCTCAACAAACAACAACCACTGAATTACTGGCTCCTAAGTTGGGAAATTTGTTTATTTCAATCAATAATTGTCATTTGTTGTTTCCAATATTGTTTCAAGGAAATTTTTTTCCCGAACTTTCAATATATTGAACAATAAAATGCTTCGCTGGGCGCAGCTTGATACGACTGCAGAGGTCGAACCCTGAACAGTTGGGGCAAGTATGGACACAACATTCAAGCTTGATACAGCTCTGAATTTGGATTGTGATTAAATATTTGACACAGCATAGGTTTCTGACACAGAAAGAATGTGGTCTAAGAACTTGATTTTTTTAATTAACCTATTATGGTCCAATGTCCAAAATCAAAAAACATGGTTAGATTCAGCATATCAAAGAACCCCATATATTCAATTTTTGTTGGAATCAAACAAAGTTTAATTTTGGACCCCAACTTGGACAAACTTGAAAACTGGGCCCATAATCAAAAATCTAAACACATGTTTAGATTCAGCATATCAAAGAACCCCAAGAATTCAATTTTTGTTAAAATCAAACTAAGTTTAATTTTGGACCCTTTGGACCTTAATGTAGACCAATTTAAAAAACAGGACCCAAAATTAAAAATCTAAATACACGGTTAGATTTGGAATATCAAAGAACCCCAATAATTCAATTTTTAATGAAATAAAACAAAGTTTAATTTTGGACCCTTTTGACCTCAATATGAACCAATTTGATAGCGGGCCCACAAATAAAAAATCTAAATACATGGTTAGATTCAGCATATCAAAGCACCCCATATATTCAATTTTTGTTGAAATCAAAAAAAGTTTAATTTTGGACCCCAACTTGGACCAACTTCAAAACTGGGCCCATAATCAATAATCTAAACACATGTTTAGATTCAGCATATCAAAGAACCCCAAGAATTCAATTTTTGTTAAAATCAAACTAAGTTTAATTTTGGACCCTTTGGACCTTAATGTAGACCAATTTAAAAAACGGGACCCAAAATTAAAAATACGGTTAGATTTGGCATATCAAAGAACCCCAATAATTCAATTTTTGATGAAATTAAACAAAGTTTAATTTTGGACCCGTTTGACCTCAATATGAACCAATTTGATAGCGGGCCCACAAATAAAAAATCTAAATACATGGTTAGATTCAGCATATCAAAGAACCCCATATATTCAATTTTTGTTGAAATCAAACAAAGTTTAATTTTGGACCCCAATTTGGACCAACTTGAAAACTGGGCCAAAAATCTAAAATCTAAATACATAAATACATGTTTAGATTCAGCATATCAAAGAACCCCATATATTCAATTTTTGTTGAAATCAAACAAAGTTTAATTTTGGACCCCAACTTGGACCACCTTGAAAACTGGGCCCATAATCAAAAATCTAAACACATGTTTAGATTCAGCATCTCAAAGAACCCCAAGAATTCAATTTTTGTTAAAATCAAACTATGTTTAATTTTGGACCCTTTGGACCTTAATATTGACCAATTTAAAAAACAGGACCCAAAATTAAAAATCTAAATACTCGGTTAGATTTGGCATATCAAAGAACCCCAATAACTCAATTTTTGATGAAATCAAACGAAGTTTAATTTTGGACCCTTTTGACCTCAATATGAACCAATTTGATAGCGGGGTCCACAAATAAAAAATCTAAATACATGGTTAGATTCAGCATATCAAAGAACCCCATATATTCAATTTTTGTTGAAATCAAACAAAGTTTAATTTTGGACCCCAATTTGGACCAACTTGAAAACTGGGCCAAAAATCAATAAAATGCTTCGCTGGGCGCAGCTTGATACGACCGCAGAGGTCGAACCCTGAACAGTTGGGGCAAGTATGGACACAACATTCAAGCTTGATACAGCTCTGAATTTGGATTGTGATTAAATATTTGACACAGCATAGGTTTCTGACACAGAAAGAATGTGGTCTAAGAACTTGATTTTTTTAATTAACCTATTATGGTCCAATGTCCAAAATCAAAAAACATGGTTAGATTCAGCATATCAAAGAACCCCATATATTCAATTTTTGTTGGAATCAAACAAAGTTTAATTTTGGACCCCAACTTGGACAAACTTGAAAACTGGGCCCATAATCAAAAATCTAAACACATGTTTAGATTCAGCATATCAAAGAACCCCAAGAATTCAATTTTTGTTAAAATCAAACTAAGTTTAATTTTGGACCCTTTGGACCTTAATGTAGACCAATTTAAAAAACAGGACCCAAAATTAAAAATCTAAATACACGGTTAGATTTGGAATATCAAAGAACCCCAATAATTCAATTTTTAATGAAATAAAACAAAGTTTAATTTTGGACCCTTTTGACCTCAATATGAACCAATTTGATAGCGGGCCCACAAATAAAAAATCTAAATACATGGTTAGATTCAGCATATCAAAGCACCCCATATATTCAATTTTTGTTGAAATCAAAAAAAGTTTAATTTTGGACCCCAACTTGGACCAACTTCAAAACTGGGCCCATAATCAATAATCTAAACACATGTTTAGATTCAGCATATCAAAGAACCCCAAGAATTCAATTTTTGTTAAAATCAAACTAAGTTTAATTTTGGACCCTTTGGACCTTAATGTAGACCAATTTAAAAAACGGGACCCAAAATTAAAAATACGGTTAGATTTGGCATATCAAAGAACCCCAATAATTCAATTTTTGATGAAATTAAACAAAGTTTAATTTTGGACCCGTTTGACCTCAATATGAACCAATTTGATAGCGGGCCCACAAATAAAAAATCTAAATACATGGTTAGATTCAGCATATCAAAGAACCCCATATATTCAATTTTTGTTGAAATCAAACAAAGTTTAATTTTGGACCCCAATTTGGACCAACTTGAAAACTGGGCCAAAAATCTAAAATCTAAATACATAAATACATGTTTAGATTCAGCATATCAAAGAACCCCATATATTCAATTTTTGTTGAAATCAAACAAAGTTTAATTTTGGACCCCAACTTGGACCACCTTGAAAACTGGGCCCATAATCAAAAATCTAAACACATGTTTAGATTCAGCATCTCAAAGAACCCCAAGAATTCAATTTTTGTTAAAATCAAACTATGTTTAATTTTGGACCCTTTGGACCTTAATATTGACCAATTTAAAAAACAGGACCCAAAATTAAAAATCTAAATACTCGGTTAGATTTGGCATATCAAAGAACCCCAATAACTCAATTTTTGATGAAATCAAACGAAGTTTAATTTTGGACCCTTTTGACCTCAATATGAACCAATTTGATAGCGGGGTCCACAAATAAAAAATCTAAATACATGGTTAGATTCAGCATATCAAAGAACCCCATATATTCAATTTTTGTTGAAATCAAACAAAGTTTAATTTTGGACCCCAATTTGGACCAACTTGAAAACTGGGCCAAAAATCAATAAAATGCTTCGCTGGGCGCAGCTTGATACGACCGCAGAGGTCGAACCCTGAACAGTTGGGGCAAGTATGGACACAACATTCAAGCTTGATACAGCTCTGAATTTGGATTGTGATTAAATATTTGACACAGCATAGGTTTCTGACACAGAAAGAATGTGGTCTAAGAACTTCAATTTTTTTAATTTACCTATTATGGTCCAATGTCCAAAATCAAAATACATGGTTAGATTCAGCATATCAAAGAACCCCATATATTCAATTTTTGTTGAAATCAAACAAAATTTAATTTTGGACCCTTTGGACCTTAATGTAGACCAATTTAAAAACGGGACCCAAAATTAAAAATCTAAATACACGGTTAGATTTGGCATATCAAAGAACCCCAATAATTCAATTTTTGATGAAATCAAACTAAGTTTAATTTTGGACCCTTTTGACCTCAATATGAACCAATTTGATAGCGGGTCCACAAATAAAAAATCTAAATACATGATTAGATTCTGCATATCAAAGAACCCCAAGAATTCAATTTTTGATGAAATCAAACAAAGTTTAATTTTGGACCCTTTTGACCTCAATGTGGACAAAGTTGATAACGGGGCCCAAAAATCAAAAATCTAAATACATGGTTAGATTCAGCATATCAAAGAACCCCATATATTCAATTTTTGTTGAAATCAAACAAAGTTTAATTTTGGACCCCAATTTGGAACAACTTGAAAACTGGGCCCATAATAAAAAATCTAAATACATGTTTAGATTCAGCATATCAAAGTACCCTAAAAATTCAATTTTTGTTAAAATCAAACTAAGTTTAATTTTGGACCCTTTTGACCTTAATGTAGACCAATTTGAAAACGGAACCAAAAATTAAGAATCTAAATACACGGTTAGATTCGGCATATCAAAGAACCCCAATAATTCAATTTTTGATGAAATCAAACAAAGTTAAATTTTGGACCCTTTGGACCTCAATGTGGACCAATTTAAAAACGGGGCCCAAAATCCAAAATCTTAATACACGGTTAGATTCAGCATATTAAAGAACCCCAAGAATTCAAGAATAAAACCCCATTGAAATTGATCAAGAAATAAGCAATTTATACGAAGTATCTTCTTTTGCACAATACTGTGCAATTGAATATTTCTTGCTATTGTGCAATTATGTACAATTGACAATTTCTTGCTATTGCGCAATATTGTGCTATTGGATATTTCTTGCTATTGCGCAATACTGTGCAATTGAAGATTTCTTGCTATTGCGCAATACTGTGCAATTGAAGATTTCTTGCAATTGTGCAATACTGTGCAATTGAAAATTTCTTGCTATTGCACAATACTTATTATATAATAATTTACACATCCTGTTTGGTGTGTATCTCCTACCATATCATTATTATTTGCTTTTAAATATTAATCAGAAATAACCAACTTAAAATGGAAAATTTTAAAAGAAAAAAAAAAAGAAAAAAAGAAAAAAAAAAAGAAAAAAAAAAATCCCCCCCCCCCAAATTTTTTGAACCCCCTTATGATTCATCACCCCCAAACTCAATCCCAGCCTTCCCTTTGTGGTATGGTACCTTGCAGTACAATTTCAGAGAGATCCATACACTTGAACACAAGTTATTGTCTGGAAACTAGAAAAATGCTTATTTTGGCCCCTTTTTGGCCCCCAATTCCTACACGTTTCGGGCAATTACCCCCAAACTCAATTCCAGCTTTCCCTTTGTGATATGGAACCTTGTAGTACAATTTCAGAAATATCCAAACACTTACACACAAGTTATTGTCATGAAACTAGAAAAATGCTTGTTTTTTGCCCCTTTTTTGGCCCCTTATTCCTAAAATTTTGAGGCAATTACCCCCAAAATCAATTACAGCCTTCCCTTTGTGATATGGAACCTTGTGGTACAATGTCAGAGAGATCCATACACTTACACACAAGTTATTGTCTGGAAGTTACAAAAATGCTTATTTTTGGCCCCTTTTTGGCCCCTAATTCCTTAACTGTTGGTACCATAACCCCCAAAATCAATCCCCACCTTCCTTTCGTGGAATTGAACCTTATGGTAAAATTTCATGGAGATCCATTCACTTAAACTAAAGTAAGAGTGCGAAAACCAATGTGTCTTCAATTTTTGCGGTCGTATAAAAATCTAAACACATGTTTAGATTCAGCATATCAAAGAATCCCATATATTCAATTTTTGTTAAAATCAAACAAAGTTTAATTTTGGACACTTTGGACCTTAATGTAGACCAATTTGAAAACTGGACCCAAAATTAAAAATCTAAATACACGGTTAGATTCAGCATAACAAATAAATAAATGTGGTCAAAGATTTTACAAATCTAATGCGCCATACTGTGCAATTAAAGATAACTTCTTGAAATTTTTCAATATTTGAAATTTGAAAAAAAAATAATATTTGAAGAATAATTCTTTTTAATTTCTGAAATCTGAAATGAGAAAAAATTGACCCCCCACAATTTCTTTTTACCCCCCCCCCCCCCCTTTTTTCCCCCAAAAATTCTTTCCCTCAAGATATGGTTATAATCTCAATTCAAATTTCCAATGGAGTTTGCAACCATAACTACCCATTTAAATTTACCATAGTGCTAACTTAATATATTTTATAATAGAATTTAAAATATAGTGTCAAATCTTTCATATGGATTTTTTTGTAAAAAAAAAAGATGCAACATTTGCAGATATTTTTACTGGTCTTCCTTTATAAATATGCATTTCTTTAAACATAATTTAAAAGCAGTGTAAGGGAAGTAACCAAAACGTTGTATTTGGATTACCTCCCTTACACTGTTTTAAATTATCTTAATTGTTCATTAACCATTACTTTATACATAATTTAAAAGCAGTGTAAGGGAGATAATTTCAATGATGTATTTGATTTATCTCCCTTACACTGCTTTAAATTATGTTTTGTACTAAAGTATTTGTCCATTAACCAGGACAACCTTGTTTTTCCCCCTTTTTTGACTCTAATTCCTAAACGGTTTGAGCCATAACCCCCCAAAGCAAATCCTAACCATCCCTTTGTGGTATGGAAACTTGTAGTATAATTTCAGAGAGATCCATACACCGTTCCACAGTTATTGTCTGGAAACTAGAAAATGCTTATTTTTGGCCCCTAATTCCTTAACTGTTGGTACCATAACCCCCAAAATCAATCCCCACCTTCCTTTTGTGGTATTGAACCTTATGGTAAAATTTCAAAGAGATCCATTCTCTTAAACTAAAGTTAGAGTGCGAAAACCAATGTGTCTTCGGACGACGACGCCGGACGACGACGACGATGCCAACGTCATACCAATATACGGCCGCAAAAATTTTTTGCGGTTGTATAAAAAGTCGTAAGGGTTCCGCAGAACCCAGTGTCTCGCCTACTTTTGCTGTTAATCGCAGGCTCAACAAAAATGAGATGAGGAAAAAATTTATTAAAATAGTCCTTGCGATACAATTTTTTTATTGTAAGAAGCTTCTGTCCAAGTTTGGTAAAAATCGAGGATAGTTTATGAATCTAATAAATGTTTTAAAAAATTTAACTGCAGACTGTATCTAATGTTAACTGGAAGAAAAACTAAGTCCATTTATAAGTAAAATATGGATAAACAAGTACAAAATTTAAAAAAAAATTTCCTTCTTGATACTAGCTTTTGATCATAAACAAACTTCTGTCCATGTTTGGTACAAATCCAGGATAGTTTAAGAAAGTTATTAAAATTTTAAAAACTTTAACCACAGAGTGAATGTAATGTTTCCTGGCAGAAAAACTAAGTCCATTTATAAGTAAAATACGGAAAAACAGGAATTTTTTTTTTACAAAATTTACTTCTGGATACTATCTTATGATCATAAACAAGCTTCTGTCCAAGTTTGGTAAAAATCCAGGATAGTTTAAGAAAGTTATTAAAATTTCAAAAACTTTAACCACAGAGTGAATATTTGTGGACGCCGCCGCCGACGACGACGACGCCACTGACGGAATGTAGGATCGCTATGTCCCGCTTTTTCGACAAAAGTCGAAGGCTCGACAAAAAGGTAGAAGATCAACAAGACATAAATGCTATTGCTAATGGATCAGGGTTTCCAAAACAAACAGTTCCGTTCAAATCAATCTATGATTGATGAGGATAGAATTTAACTCTTTCAGACTTTGGGAAAAGTTTATGAAGTCAACACCAATTTTGTTCTTTTTAGGAAAAATGCAGACTTGTAAAATCTGTTATCTTTTGTTCACAATCAATCTAATACATGTATTAAATGTCCCTTAATAATTATCATGAGGAGGACACATGAAGTAAATGGATGTACAGACTGTTAGTCGTTACATTATTTAAATTTGTGACATTGTAACAACACTGTAATAAAAGGAATATTAGGAAGATCCATCAAATAAGATGTGATATCTAAACAAATGAGAGTATACAGTTTCTTTCAAATTTAACAAAGAATAAATAAAAATATTAAGAGGTTACTCTTTTGAGAAGTATTTAAATATTCATATATTTTTTTTTAAACATACTGGTTCCTATATATCAAACTGGGGAAATTTTATAAGTATAAATACAGTTGGATAGCGTTCAATATAAATTAACAGAAAACTCCAGGCAAAGGGAGGGGAAGTACAAAATAATAGTATAAGCTTCAACTCTAAGGAATAGGAGGCATATACAGTGGAATAAATGTCCCACAACCCTATGTTTTGACCTTTTAAAAATAAGTATTGCATGTGACATTTCTATTCCAGTATAAGATTTCTTATGAACTTAAAAGTAAACTGACAGTTTTAGGCGTAAAAGGAGTTCCTAAGGAAAATTACATGGTCTGATTTACACAAGCGCAACCTAGGAGTGCATTTGTGTATATCCATGGTACTGTATAGCTGAGACTACTAAAACACAGTCTCAGTGTATAAGTTAACAACTGTTGGTTAATGACTTTTCCAGAATCTAAATAACTAGTTAATTTGATCCTTCAAGGAATGTCCATTCCAATGCCCATTTTCTAAAAAAACAAGCTGGTACAAAATAATGTGTACAGAAAGGTTGCAACATTTTTAGGACTATTAAATATATAAATGTTAGTTTAATACACTTTATCGCTATTTAGTCCAATCCGGAAAAAAACAGTCACTTAGACAACTTCCTGTTTGGGTCAAGTGACGCAAGAACAAAAGTCATCAGTAATGAGCTGAGGGCGGAAAATGTGTAGAAAGTGAAGATTTTGAAATTTGTATACTTTATGATCCATTTTTTAAACACAAATTAAAGTTAGAAAAATGCTTTGTTTGAAGTGTTTACAATGGTTTCAACATAACTCTTTGAAAATTTTTATGCACAGTAGATTGTTTAAACAGGACCCAAGATAGCTTCAACTGTTTTGAAAGAGAACTTTTCCGGATTGGAATAAATAGCGATAAGGTGTACAATAGTCCCAGAACATTTGTAGCTTAAATTTTATGCCTTTTATCTGATTAAGGATGTACACCTCTGAGGAGCCAAACATTTCCAGAATTCAACTTTTTTTCTTAACCTGAATTTTGGGTTTATATGACTGTAAGAAAGTGATTGATTAAGAAAAAATGGTGGTGCACTTCTTTTTTTTGCTACGGCCATTTGAAAATACCCCATTTTTAATAATTTACCCATTTTTCATCAATTTTTTAAAAAATAAGGAAATGTGGTTTGATTGCCAATGAGAAAACTATCCACCAAAGTTCAAATGAAGTGGATGTAAGCAATTTTAGGCAACCGTACAGCCTTCAACAACGAAAAAAACCCATACCGTATGGTCGGCTATAAAAGACCCCAACATGAAAAATATGAAACAATTCAATTGAGAAAACTAACAACCTTCTTTGAGATATTATTGTGTCTGGGAGACACAACTGATGCCCCCGCAGATGCAAAGAGTTATTGTAAAATTACTATAACATTTAACCGCTTATACCCCAAAAATGACAAGGTTCAACTATCTCCCAAAAGAGCAAATATTAATAAAAATCAAAACCCTGACCACATGCACATCTTCAATATATGTACAAACAGCCAGCATAGTGAAAACTTCCTAGCATTCAAACTGTAGGAGGAGTTATCTGGAAACACTCCTCTTCTGCAAGTAAATACTCTAAAAAATGACAAAGTTCAACTATCTCCCAAAAGAGCAAATATTAATAAAAATCAAAACCCTGACCACATGCACACCTTCAATATATGTACAAACAGCCAGCAAAGCGAAAACTTCCTAGCATTTAAACTGTAGGAGGAGTTATCTGGAAACGCTCCTCTTATGCAAGTAAATACTCCAAAAAATGACAAAGTTCAATTATCTCCCAAAAGAGCAAATATTAATAAAAATCAAGACCCTGACCACATGCACACCTTCAATATATGTACAAACAGACAGCAGAGTGAAAACTTCCTAGGATTCAAACTGTAGAAGGAGTTATGCGGAATAACTATATACCCATGACGGAAGGACGGACGGCCAGACAGGGGTAAAACAATATCCCCCCCAACTTTTAGTTTCGGGGGCATTAAAACAAATATGACAGACATGAACCAACAAAAACCACTGAACTACAGGCTCCTGACTTGGGACAGGCACATAAAGAATGTGGCAGGGGGAAACATGTTTGTGAGCACTCAACCCTCCCCCTAACCTTGGACAGTGGTGTAACAGTACAAGTTCAACATAAGAACAAACTATAATAAACTGTTATCACAGAGATATGTCTCGCCTTTTTGTAATTTTGATAATGCAAATGTTGAAATTAAAATAGCAATACTTTAACATGTAAGTTATGCAAATATGACTGAAGGTACATGGCTAAACAATCTCCGTGGAATGAGATGTGCCAATGCTAATACAACTCATAGTTTGCCCTTTTATTGCTTCTTATTTTTCATGATTAAACAACAGCTTGGTTAATGGCTTAATTGGTTTTTATTTAAGTTTTTGAAGGAAAAACATCAATAACTACCTGTATAGAGTTAAAACAGCAAACATGTTAATTATTTAATTGATATAAGTTATTAAATAGCTAATTGAAAAGAAACAAATCAAATCAAAACTTCAGTCATACATGTAGGAGTTAAAAAAAAACTTCAAGCATTTTACTTCTTAATAACAAGATTATTTTTAACAATGTACTTAACAAAATAAAATCCAACCCCAATTTTTTTCTAAAAAATTAAAAAGCAGAAAACAGATGAAAATTATTATTTGATGCCGAAATGACCAACTAAATGCAGAAATGACTTTAAAATAGGTGCCCATTTGATCAGATGCTGATTTGACTTTTTTGATAGGTGCCGATTTAACTTGTACCCTCTGACCAACAGACAGGATTGAGTGTAACCTGATTAACTGTTTCCTGGATTTAAAATTTATTATTTATCTAGCCATATTTTGTCAGTTGTTTACTGCAGGTTGACAGTTTCCAAAGGCAACTCTGGTTTCCTCTAAATATAAATCTTAACAGTTTTTGAATGACTGAATAAAGCATAAATTAATGTTCTCAATGAATTCTATTTGAAACTACAATACTAGACACTAAGAAATAATATGAAGTGAAGACACAATTATAAGGGCTATTCCCGAAATGTCTGTATGGGGAGGGGGAAGGCACATTAATAAAAAAAAAATTGTGTGGGCTACTTCACATATTTTCCCAATCAAAACTTAAAATTAAGGAAAAATGAATTAAAATTTTATTCAAATAAAAAGTGCCTTTCCCTCCCATACAATCAATTCTGGAATAGCCCTTAGTGATAAAGACTTGCAATAAGAAGAACATTGAACATGGAAAGGGGTGAAGCAAGCCATGTCATAAAATCTGCAAAAAAAATCACATTAATTTTCAATTATTGAGCAAAAATTTAAATGAGCTACTAAAAATGGACAAATTAGCATGAAGAATAAGAGGTCAAAACCTACTCAGAACAGCCCAGATGTCACCTCCTGCAATCTAGATTTTCAAAATTTTCTCGAAACCCCAGCTTAACAAGAATGGGGGATACCCCCTCTCGAGCTCACACCCTCTCGCGCCTGCGACACTCCGTTCGGGCCTTGCTTTACCGTACCCATTTTTTCATCATGAAAAAAAATCACAGTTTCACAATTAATATTAGAAAGTTTTATAAAATTTTGATGCTTTTTCGTGTCAAATTGACCATGCTGTCAATTTTGCAAATTTGGGATTTTTAAAAAAAAAGCATATTATTTCAACTTCTTTGTTATAAATGATTGAAAAAATACATATCTAAGAATTTTGAAAAGAAAAAATCATATGGGATGTACAGATTTTTGGTTCATTTCTTGTACCCCTTACCCATTTTCTTAACATTTTGTCTGATGATACTGACCGGATTGGTTATAAAATTTGAAAATTTTATTACTCAAAAACTACACAATTTTTTTCACATAGTTTAGTTTGATTATAACATTTTGTAAATTCATTAATATTTTATCGCATGTTTTGGAAATAATTCCCGAACGAAATTTCAACAAGACTGAAACATCAGAAGAATACATCCTTAATAGCACTATTTTCTACTTTCCAAAACTAATCATGACAATAAAAAAATTGCCAGTCAACATGTTCTTTTAGTGTGTCAAGATTGTTTTATTAAATAGTTAATAAATAGCCATGGAAGATAACTCTTGTTATATTAACAGATTAAAGAGCACCTGCATATGATCATGATCATGATTCACCTTTTGGCTATTTATTAGCACATATAAGGAAATATACCTGTGTGCATATACGAAGAACATGCAATATTTGACAACTGGTTAAATGCAATGATTTCAACATTTAAACATTTCCACCGGCACACCCTACGAAAATATGCCGGTATAATGGAATTTACATGCACATGTGCATCTAGTGAGACATTATCAAGTTTTTGAAGATAAAATTAATATTTTTATATTTATCAAAGTCAATAATTTACCTGCAATTAATGTACAGACTACTGCAAAGATAATTTCTCTATTCATGATGAATTAATTAGCAGTCTACTCTTTGTTATTCGTCCAGCTTTCTTTCAACTCTTCGCCGCGAAGAAGACCGATAACTCTGAGTGTACCGTATTTGATCAATTAAACTGGCAATGATTAGTCTGGGAATGAAGAGGTCACCTTTTGACCTACATTTTTGTAAGTCTAAGGCTTGGACTAATAATATTGTATACTGTACATGTCCCAGCTTAGCGGTACATACGATTAATAATTATCTGGTATTTATAAGACTTGTAACTTCTTCAGATGTCTAAAATATCTGGGATTTAAATATAGGGGGCGCTCTTGAGAATAAGAATTAGTGTCTTTTAGGGGGTGAGCACCTGATAATAGTATTTTTTATCGACGAAATTCAGAGGCGGTTCATGAGACATGCCCCCTCCTTTTTTACTTTGTATGTGGTTTGGTTTGTTTTTTTGGTGTGTTTGTATTAAATTTTATCACTAATTTGATTTTATTCTTTCTCTTTAACTTATCAAGGATTTATATGTCTTATATATCTCTTACTATATAAATCCTTGCCCTTATCAATACGATATTACACATAACGGTAGTTTTAATACCAAGATTGAACCTAAATAACGTATAATAGTCCCAGCCTCATCTTCGCTAGCCAATGGGGACTGATCGTAACCCTTGGCTAGCGAAGATGTCCCAGCCTGAGACTAATGATTAAATGCAATTCTGGAACAGGATCAAGTAAAAATTAAAATTAACACACACTCAGACAATTATTTTATACAGAATAACAAACAAACCTACCACGAAATTGTTCTTACAATTTACCAAAGAAAAGAAGAAAAAAAATCCAAAATGTCATTTATCATTAATACAATGTCTTTTAAAATCTTTTTAAAAATGAGTTATTTCCCTTTGTACAGAAATGGATTAATTCATCAAAAATTGAATTATTGGAAAGGGCTATAACTGACTAACGAGAAAAGCTAAAATCGTGAAAATTGAACTTGACCTTCATTTAGTCACAGGAAACAACATATCTAAATTTGAAAAAATTTCTTCAAAGCGTTTTCATGTAAATGAACGGACACTGTTTGGCAGCCGCCCGCCGTACATCGCCAAATCAATAACCGATTTTTACTTCGAAAATCCGGTTAAAAACGATTTGTGTCATAAAATTTTTCCTGTAGGCTGCTTTTTTGGTGGGTAAGTAGACAAACAATTTAAATATTATTTTTTGGCCCTAGACACAGGCTTCTTATATTGTGTTTTAGATGTAAACTTTTAAGCTATTGAAACGAGTCTTTTTCATGATAGGACGTATAACTTCAATTAGTCATATGTGTTCTGGTCATGTGGAGAAGGATGACTTCATCTTTTTAATTTTTTATGAGCTCAATTAGTCATGTGCACTTGTCACACTTTCCGTCAAATCTACACTTATGCATTTTAATTGAGCTCATGCATCGCTTTATAGCAATAAATTGATTTTTTTGTATGTTTGACGAGGTTGATCAGATTACCGTGGCTTAGAGATCAAAATAAATTGTGTAACCTAGGACGGTTAAGTAGTTAAATAGATTGTAATTTCTAATTCTACATTTGACTGATTAATCTGTAACCATGTCAGCAGTTGACAGGACCATATAAAACCTGATACATTAAAAATAAAATTCTAAGGAATTTGTCATCATTTACCTACATAAATTATTATTTGTAAGCTAATGTGACAATAACGGCGCGATAACCATGAGTGTACATATTTATTGGTTTAGTTTTAACATATTTTCATATTAACATACAAATTAGGATAACGTATTATACACAAGGATTTGGAAACAATACCCCGGAAAAGATTGTCCCTTTAAAAATCGGTGGATCCAGGATAAGGCGAAGAGGGCGTATGTCCCACCTCCTTTGAACGCCATTTTGTTTGAATCTCGTGTTTCTTGCGATTTATTCGAATTTCAGGACAAAATCGTCCAAATGTTTTTCGCCTAGCTCTGCTCGGCGGTATATCTTCAATTATCTGGAATTACGCCCCGCTTTCAAAAATCCTTAATCCGCCCCTGTTAAAAGGAAATAAGGAAACTACTGCTATTGAAATTTTACACAGTAAATATCGTCAGCTCTTTTCTACCACAAGAATAATCTTTACTTTCCGTGAGAATTTCTATTATAAGAATGTTCATTGAGACTACTACAATCTATACAAGTCTGGCATTGAATATTTGTCCCTTGATTCAATTTCTACCACAGTAATAGTATTTTGGTATTTTAATTTAATTAAATCACATTACATTGATTGATACCCGTGACAGGCACACTGTTACTTTTGAACATAATTCTTAGAGTTAATAATTGCATTGAAAGATTGACTAATTAGTTGCTTAAAGTGAAGTGGCAAGTATTTCATGCATATTCAGGGCGAACACAAATTAAGACTGATAATCCAATAGGTAGAATCGTCATTTGGGGTGTCGACCGGGTTTGCCCTGTTTTGTAATCGCCTGATATATATGAACCTTGCCGCTTGCCGTTCAGTATTCTTTCTAGCTTGTTGGTATCTACTGTATATTCTATCGTTCATCTTTTTAGTGAAATGTATGCAGTTTTCTTATATTCCTGCGAGCAGTTCATTAGGTCCCTTCTTAAAAAAAAACTAGGGTCGAACAGGGACAGTCTATACGTTATACGTTATCATCGCTATTTTACGAAATTTTCCTTTGATCTTACTGACTGATAATTTCCTTTATCAGCACAGTAGAGTGATATGAAAAATTATCGCTAGAAACTAAGGGCGCATGGCCGTTGACAATGAAATTAACAACGTCGTCATAGGTAAAATAGCGATAAACAGATTATCGTTGGTCATCTCAACTCGATTGCTTTTCTCACTTTCGCCTTACCGGCTCAAGCGAGAAAATCAATCTCGTTGAGATGACCAACGATAATCTATAAGTATAGACTGTCCCTGGGTCGAATTTGTATTTTTGTTTGGCTACATTTGTTATGTGCGTGGTCCAATTCAGATCTGCTGATAGTTCATTCTTAGATGTGGGTTGTTTTTAACTTGTTGGAGAATCATGACCATTGAGCGTATACTATCTATGGCTTTTCTGTTTGATGCTCGGGATGTAGCATATTTTTTTTGCATTAAATCGCATTTCCCAGTTGTTTGCTCAAACATCTAAGTTTGCTTGATCTTACAGTGTTTTGTGGTCTTTTGCTGTTTGGATGGCTCTGTACACTGCAGAGTAAACCAACTCACCAGCAAACAGTCGTACTGAAGATTTGACGGCGTCTAGACTAGTAAGAAGTCATGTATATGTGACATATAAAAAATAGTAACATAGAAAGAGACAGACAAGGTAACCCACGGACCCTTCAAAGACTTGTTGCACGTGCTCCTCAACGTGCAGAGGGTGTGACGCTATCCATACACAAGGCTTTGGATTAAACACTCCCATCCAAACCAGGAGCCAGCAGGTTATACATCCCGAACAGCCAAACGAGCACAGAGGTTTGATACCACCGAAAGGCGAATGGAGTTATAAAGAAAAATCACCAAAGATACCAGTCTTATCAATTTGTACACCAGATGCGCTATTCGTCTACACAAGACTCATCAGTGACGCTCAGTGAATCAAACTTGTACAATTCCTACCATGTCATGGTATTTGTTGTGTCATCCTGAGACTACTTTAACACAGTGTTATAGTAGTCTCAGTGTCATCTAATGTTTAAACACAATTTATTAGAATTTCCCATATTATAAGAAAGTCCATTCATAACCAAGACCTATCATAATCCATAAATAAAATGCCTAAAAAGGAGGCCATGCATTAAGTATAAACATTGCATTGACAATGAAACGAATTCTTGATTAAAGCCATCCACGAGCCGGTTATTTGAGCCTTAGAACATACTCACCCATTCTCGTCCAATTGAAAATCAGTATTTTCCCTACTATTTTTCATAGTATATGGCTTTCTATGCACTATAAAATGCTATACACGAATAACTTTTCATTGCAGATTAATTATGAAAGTTAACTCTTAAAAACTGCCCAAACGAAGTGTACAATCCCCAGTACATGGCTTTTTTCAAACTCATAGGTCGAAAACAAACTGACAATACCATGACAAATAAACAAAAAACGACCAAAAGACAAACAACAGTACACAAAACACAACATGTAAAGCCAATCAAAAACCGAAGTGATCTCAGGTGCCCCAGAAAGGTTAGCAGATCCTGCTCCACATGCGACACATCATAATAGCGGATTGATAATCGACTCTTATCTATTAACCTCATTTGTAAACCAAGAAGTTGTTAAATCATTTCACGCAGAGACATATATACACATGTATATATGTCTCTGTTTCATGTGATCAAATCTTCCATTGATCAATATGCTTCACTTAAATGGGCCGAGAAGTCTTTCTTCTCATGTTATTCAATGACCACAAACGTTATTTTGTACAACAGCTACTCATCCCTATTCCTCAATAAAACCAATAATATAAAATATCAGTGCAGATTATTATATTTTATTTTTGCAGATTAAAAATATAACACAAGATTCATATATATATATGTCACTGCTGACACTTGAGGAACAAGGTAATTTCAGAAGCAGCAACACTAGTAAAAACGTTCCTTCATTGGATTTTATTCTCTTACTTCACTCAGTTATAAACCGACCGGTGTGTTGCAATTGAAGACAATATCTCTTAAAGGAGTAATTTGACAATTTCGGACCCTCGGAACAATTTGGTAGATCTTGATGAACTGGTCATTTTTGCAATTTCCATTTTTCCTTGAGCTCTTACAGTTTTTAAGATATATGACTCATATACAAGCCAAAAGCAGCAAAGAAAAACACATTTCAAGGGCAACAACTCTATGAAGAGTCATCAGATATTTTCAACTTTTGAAGATGATTGTAATTTATATGTCTCTGGTCTGGCCAAACCAAGTGAAATTCGTCAGAACATACATTTCAGGTGCAATAACTCTTGATATAGCCAGTCACAAATAATTTCAAATCAATGGAGATTTTGTATACCTCAACAAGGACATCATTATAAACTTTTAGATTTTCTATATCTCTTATAGGTTTTGAGATAAGAGCAAACACTGCAGTTCAGTTTTTAGCATCAACAGCACTGGTTGTTTTATGAATCAAGACCTCTGATACAATTTATTAACTACTGAGATACAAGGGATATTCAAGCCGTGAAAGCTTGATTCCAAGCTGTTCAGTTGTCAAGAGGACAAGATTTTCCAGTGTTCTATTTTTAGAAAAGGCTGCCATGTTTTGTTGTTGAACGAAAAACTTAAGATATAAATTATATACTCTTAATATCACAAGATTCACACAAAGTTTGGTTGAAATCTCTTTAGCTGTTTGGTGGTTTCAGAGATGATTTTTTTGAAAGTGTACGCCAATGAAGGACAACTGGCCAAGTAATCACAATAGCTGATGTAGACCTTCAGACCAGTGTGCTCAGAAAACTCAACAAAGTTTGATAAGTAGTTGAAGACTTTAAATTGATCTCTAGATATAATGTTCGTATTTATTTTAAATCTCTAGGAAGCCCTGTTTGGAACTTATATATTTTTTGTAAACCAGTATCTGCTTCTTTTCAACTAAAAGGAGTGTTGTTGGTGGAATGAACTTTAATTTTATGTGTACTTTTTTATAACATGTACATGTGTTCCTGTTATCTATAATCTTTTATAGAGATTTGTGGTTTTTTATATGATTTTGTTTGATGATCAATATCAACAAGGCTGATTGTAGACTGTCGAGTTCAATAAATAATTTTAACATTACCCCATGTTTATCTACCTGTATCAAGTCAGGAATCTTGTCTTTGATTATTTCTCTTTTTTTTATACTTATTTTTAGGTTTATTATTAAATATACAATAGTTGTACATTTGTAATAATTTATATTTGCTGTTTACAAATTGCATGGAATGATATCTTCCTAATATTCTGGGGCTAATAGCAGATCTTTAAAAGTTTCTGTTAAATTCATTTACAACCTAGACAAGAGACTATTTAGGGAGCAACCATTTAACTCCAAGGGGGGTTATGGTTTTTTGTCCAAGTCAAATTTTTTTTCAAAATTAAACACTATAAGGTATGGGGAAAATCTGGATTCAGAATATTTTTTTTTGTCATCTGCTTGACCATAATATTTTTTTTCATCAAATTGGGGATCAGAACATTTTTTTAGGAAAAACCCATAACCCCCCTTGAAGTTAAATGGTCGTTCCCTTAAAGCTTGACATTTTGTACAGAATTTTTATTGCTGAAGATCGTATGCTGTCCTCTAGTTGTCCCTCTTATTATGGTTTTAAGTTTTCTTGGGTTGCTGTCTCATTGTCATATACTTTCATCACTTTTTATTCATTCATTGATAAACAACTTGACATACTGTTATGTTTTAATCTTATTCATGTAACAACTTATATTGGTTAATATACAATGGTTGTTATAAGTTATATTTGTTGTGTACAATTGGCATTGCATTATACCATAGTTTTACTGGTGTTCATGGCAGATATTTGGTGGTCTCGGTTAAAATTTGGTTTTCATTTACAACTTGCTTCGGATTGGTAAATTTAGAGCTTGACATGCGGTAGACATTTTTTGTTGTTGACCGCTAGTGACCTCTAGATGTCGGTCTCCTGTAGCTATAATATTGGTTTGATTGCGATCTCATTGAAACATACACCCAATCTTTTTTTATTCACTCTTTGAAAAAAAACTTCAAATACTGTTATTTTTCTTAATTTCATTCATGTAACAACTTATATTGGTTTATATACAATGGTTATAATAAGTTATATTTGCTGTATACAATTTGCATATTTCACTTCATTAATCCATCAAACTCAACAAATTCTACTTATTAATTTCAATTGTAAATGTATTGTCACCTTCTACACAGCAGATAAGTTTTATTATCACTGAAACTACTATCCTCCCTACTGCCTGCATAACGGTCTGAATGGGGTATACAGAACAGAAAATAATGGGCAAAAAATACAAGGCCATAAAAATAAATAAGACAGAAAAATATGTAAAAAAATAAAGAATAGAGAATAATTGGGATTTTTCTCAAAATAAAAGAAAATTTGTTGATATTAAATACACGAACCTTCGGGAGTCAAAACACAGATCATGATTGCATTGAGTAAAAAATAATATCAGGTCATTATGTGTACTAATTTTATGCGTCTTAATTCATAAAATTTATTCAAAGAGAAATGTGTTTCTGATTTTTAAAACAAATGACAACTTTTTTTTTACATATTCAGTGGAGTTAATTATTTACATTTTCTTTTATCTGTATTAATTAATTACAAGAGATTAAAAAAATCTCAAGTAAATGGATAAATTTTCCCAGGTGCGACTTGCAAAATACTGTCAGTTAGTTAAGATATGGGAAGGTTGTATGTGTTATTTTGAAGATGAATGAATGTTATTGAATTACAATAATTAAACTCCTGTCAAGATTTTGATTTCAAACTGATGAAAGTAACTATGTTTTTATTATGTCATTGTGGTAAATTCAAATGATATACAAAAATGTTATGACAATGAAAGAAAGTATGGAATAAACTCAATAAACCTGGGCCTACGGTAATAGAATTTACTCAGTGCTCAAGAGTACAAAATCTGTGTTCAAACACCAAATCCAGTTTTAATTGGTTGAATTCTTAGTCTGAGTCCAATAAATGTACTCCAGATTTGTATGACTGCAAGGCCTTTTACTCATAGCACTGCAGAAGGTACGTTAGTATATCATTCAAAATCTACTTCATATTCCTGTTCTTCATCTTAAAGTTGCAAACTAAACAGACCTTTTGCATAAAATTATTAAAACATAAATAAATAACTCATTTTCATAAATATCAGGTAAAAAATTTCATCCTTATCCAAAGCATCAACTATTTCATATAAGTTCAACAATATTTTAATATGGTGATAGTAAAAAATATTAAAATTACAGATGTCCTCCTAAATGAAACTTTTTTCAGGACATATGCCAAATTTTCTTAAAAGGTATAATTTGTTGCGTTGGAGGATTAACGTATTTACAGTATATACATATTTGTTAACTTCAAACAAGCATAGGCTAGGACTATATACAAAATCTTGGTAATGGTTTTCACAACCAATGCAGTAACAAAAATAGGTGACTTAAACTGTGCGTGTTTTTCATGATTATTTCATGAAAGTGATCGTTCAAGACTCGTATAAACCAGAAGTCCACAGAAAAGTAACAGGATGAATCATCTGTTGCATTTTCAATATGTTGGGGGGAGGGGGGTTGGTCCTTGTAATGTCATGAAATTAAATGTTGGAATGGACACGACAGCAATATTTTCAGATGATATGGTAAGGACAAATTAGTTCCAGTACCAATAATATCCTTAATGTTTGGTATTTTCAATGGCAAATACTCAAATTTGCAAAAAAAAAATTTAAGGGGATCCTACCAGGAATATTTGATAATTTCTAGGTAATATTTTCTTCAAGTAAGAAATACTTCTTTTTTATGGGCAAAGTAGAGCTAGTAAAAGGAGATTGCCAATGCATTTATTAGCAATAACTATATTTCCTAGTCAGGACTTGTACTTTATCTGTGGACATACAGCTAGTGTGTTTAATATGTCCTGTTAGATGGAAATTGAACTGAGTTATCAAACTTTGATTATGAGCTTTTTGTTAAGATCTTTTTCCAAACAAAATGGAAATCAGCTCGCTCAACTCTTATTAATATCATGAACACAAAACATTGTCAAAATACAAAATGTTTCACTCAAATTAATACAGAAATTAATTCTACTTTAGATCTTGTTTTGTTTCATAAAGGATCTAAATTTCAGATTTTTATAATCATTTAAACTAAACAGGACTAAATAGATAGTTTTCAATGTGATATAATTTTAGTTGGAGTTGGGAGTTATTTCCCTTGGCCACTAAAATGAAAGTTGATAAAAATATGAGGTACAAGCAGGTCTGATAAGAGAATCTTACTAGATCATAGTAATGTATTATAGGCAAATGTAGATTGTTCAGAAAACAACATTTTTTTAAGTTTAACAATCTGTATAACAAGTTGTAATTGGTTAGTTTATGAAGGAATATGTGAACAATTGACCTCAAAAAATTTAAAAAAGGGAAATAACTATTACTCAAATTAAGTAAATTGAAAACTATCTTTATAAATCCTGTGAATAAAAAACCTTTTTCTTGAAATATTTTCAAACTTGATTATTTTCAGAAATCAAAAGTACAAAAAGCCAAAATAATTCCTCTAAAAGCAGAATATGTGTTTTCCAAAAACCTACATTTCTAAAAACAACACTGAAAAATAAACTGAGTTTAAGATAAAATACTGTTATTTTCATAGAACTTTGGTTTAAAAGGCTTCACACAATGTCAAACAATTCTCATACACCTGAAAAAAAAGTCAACAACTCATTCTAGAAATTCTAGCTTTAACAAAACAATTTAACAATATTTGAGTATCTTGAACACAGTACATTCACACAATAGCATAATGCAAGCTTAAAATGCATACATAATCTTTCTTTCATCAAAACTGGATGTTTTTTTAATTTCACTCTCAGTCTCTCCCTCTCTCTATTACTCTCTCCCTACTGTGGTCATGCCAAAGTAACATTTAAATTTCAACCCCAAATCTAATATTGAAGCAAATCCAACAATTTAATTCTCTGTTTTAGTTCAGGGAACAAAAAAAAAATGCTGAAACTTGAATATATCCAGTTTTTTCCAGCAAAATTATAGGGATTAAAATCTAAAAATTATATTGATATGACCAATGTTTTTCATTCATAACACCTGGCTAACAAAAACAAACTTATGCACCATACAATCAACAGAAATGCTTTGTAATATCACATTGTCAAAATCCTATTTGTGATAGACTCAGTCAGCATTCCACTGGAATTTCTTTACTGTCTCGCAGTCGTGTTGCCACTGCTGCCACCAGTGCAGCACCTTTTCCACTACCATCATGAGATAATTGTAACTGGAACTGCAAAATAATAAACTTTTAATTAATATATCCTCTTGTGGATTTGATTATTAATAGAATACTGTAAAATTTCATGAGGCGTTTAAATTTCATCTCACAGGAAAGTGAGAATCAGAGACAATAAAATGCAATAACAAATTTTTGAACAGGTTTGACCATAGAAAATTCATAAGTTACACTCTTCTAATATAAATCCATTAGTGGATTCCTCCTTATACTTTAACCACAAAAGTAACACTGCAATATCCATATCAACTTAATTACCAAAATCCCATTCCCTTCTGTAAATAAGACTTATGCTGGATCTTTTAAAGAAATCTAGAGACAAGACCACAAATATAATTTCAATTTGACACAAATGTTTTTTTATGTTCATATGATAAGGGACTTTCTGTTTTGAATTTTCCTTGGAGTTCAGTATTTTTGTTGTTTTACTTTTTTCTATTTTCATCTACTGTTCAATTTTGTCTATTCAAAAATTTGATGAAATATTCTTTTTACTTAACATTTAACAAACTATAAACAACCACAACCTCAGTTATCATCATCTTGGTATGATATTTTTAAAATGTTTTATCAAGTTGGTTTTTTTTCAGCAACTGGGAAAGTAATACTGTGTGAAAAATTTATTTGTTGGCATTATAAAAAATTCTGTTTGTACAAATGAAGTAATATCTATTAATATTACCTTTAATCTTGGTTTTACAATCCTGTTTGCACAACAAATGAAGTAGTATCTATTAATATTACCTTCAATCCTGGTTTTACAATCCTGTTTGTACAAATGAAGTAGTATCTATTGATATTACCTTCAATCCTGGTTTTACAATCCTGTTTGTACAAAATGAAGTAGTATCTATTAATATTACCTTCAATCCTGGTTTTACAATCCTGTTTGTACAACAAATGAAGTAGTATCTATTAATATTACCTTCAATCCTGGTTTTACAATCCTGTTTGTACAAAATGAAGTAGTATCTATTAATATTACCTTCAATCCTGGTTTTACAATCCTGTTTGTACAACAAATGAAGTAGTATCTATTAATATTACCTTCAATCCTGGTTTTACAATCCTGTTTGTACAAATGAAGTAGTATCTATTGATATTACCTTCAATCCTGGTTTTACAATCCTGTTTGTACAAAATGAAGTAGTATCTATTAATATTACCTTCAATCCTGGTTTTACAATCCTGTTTGTACAACAAATGAAGTAGTATCTATTAATATTACCTTCAATCCTGGTTTCACAATCCTGTTTGTACAACAAATGAAGTAGTATCTATTAATATTACCTTTAATCCTGGTTTTACAATCCTGTTTGTACAAAATGAAGTACGGTAGTATCTATTAATATTACCTTCAATCCTGGTTTTACAATCCTGTTTGTACAAATGAAGCAGTATCTATTAATATTACCTTCAATCCTGGTTTTACAATCCTGTTTGTACAAATGAAGTAATATCTATTAATATTACCTTTAATCCTGGTTTTACAATCCTGTTTGTACAAAATGAAGTAGTATCTATTAATATTACCTTCAATCCTGGTTTTACAAGTTCTTTCATTTTAAGACACATGAGATTATGGAATCGGGGATGAAATCTGTAAAGCGAGCCATCAACGGCAATTGTCATAGTGGGTTTGTTGATCTTGTTGATCAGAGTTGCAAGACCTAAAAAAAAGATCAACATGTGAATAACCTATCTATTATGTCACTGCTAAGTCCAACAATATGTCTCACTGCTTCCTCAGCATAAGGACCCAAATCATATATGAAAATCTAGAGTTATCTCTCTTTCATAAGAAAAAATAAATCTGATATATTGTGTAAATATTAAATCAACCACTGCATACCAGACAGTTCCGCTGTTATGCTTACTGGCATATTATTTTGATTTTTTTTAAACCACTGCTACAACTCACTTTTGATGTCATATATCAGCTATAACTAAGAAAAATACATGGAACTTTTATAATTTAATACTTCAACTGACCAGAAATTATTTTATTGCCTTGTGGACAAGCCAATATTTTGATTGATGATTAATACTGTAAATGTGTAAATTTTCGCATTATTTCATTAAATTTTGAACAGATATATCATGTTAAGGAGGGGTATTTGCGAAAAATACCAGTCGAGAGAATGTTAAATTTCGCGAGCCGTAAGGCGAGGGAAATTCATTCTCAAGACTGGTATTTTTCGCAAATACCCCTCAAGAACATGCTATATCTGTTTAATTACACCGAATGTTAACGTACAAAACGCATTGATGATCGTGACATAAAACGCATTGATGATCGTGACATTACAAGCGTCCAGTCGGATAGAGTATTTTTTGGCAAATACCACGGCAGAGAGGGTAAAAAAGGCATATCCTTTTTGCATATACCCCGGCGCTGTTTAAAAATGAACGATATTCATTTGATAAAAGTAAATTGGTGAAAAATACACTGGCTATCAACCAATCAAAACCCAGGATTCTTACATAAGGTGTAATTATGCAATAAATTAAACATCCCCACTGTAAAAAGCTTTTAGAATACAACAATAATGATGTGAAGTGCCAACATTGGTAATGCACAAAAAGTTTGGGTATCTAAATTGCAAAAATAATAACCCCCCACAATATCTTTGTCTTCAGTAACTTGCCATTGCCAACTTCAGTTACGCTTTAAACAGCTCAGTGCTTTTGAAAAATTCTTTCAAAACATTTTGTGGAAAACATGTCATTTAAAGATTTAGTTGAAAATCTAATACAAACCTGCTGCTGACAGGAAGGCAGCTCGTGCAGAGATTAAGGTACACACATATTTAACAATTTTACAATCTTCTGAACTGTATCCTTCTAATCCTAACTCATCTAATACTTGTTTTGTATTACGGAAGAATTCGTCATGATCACTAAAAAATATAACAATTTTAGTAAATCTGAGGACATGAATTCATTCCAAATTAGGAAAGGAATTTGTATAAGTGACTTGTCACTTGTTCTCCAATCCTTGCATTATGTAATGTATGGCTGTACTTGTTCATTAAATTGTTTTCTAAATAAAATATTGTTTATACTATATTTCAAATGTGGTAAAAACTAAAATCCAACAAGAATTATCTCCCTTTCTACACTTTTTCTGTTGTGCTTTATTTTATATGTCAATGTGTACTTTTGTGTTCCTGATTTAAGCCAAAGTAAACATTAAATGAATAAATGTAAATCATTTACCTCTCTATTTCTGACACATATTTTGTGTAAAATCGTCCTCGCACAAACAATTCACATTCTCGATCCACACCACTAAATAATAAGCCTTCCATTGTCAACCTTTCTAACACCAGACGTACAACCTCACCCATGTACATCCCAGAGATCATCTTTTCCAATCTATAATTTAAATTGTAAATGGTATAACGTATTAAGGGATATAATACTGTTAATTCAGAAATTATTGCAAGGTTTTTATTAATGCTAATAATACGGCAATAAAAAGATTGATTGATTGATTGTTGGTTGCTTAACGTCCAGTGGCAAGCAATAAAAAGAACTTGCGTTCTGATATCTGTATGCATATTTTCATGAAATCACAATAATTAATCACATTTTTGTCCATTCTTCAAATAAACTGCTTCGCTGAGCGCAGCTGGATACGCCCGAAGAGGTCCAACCCTGAACAGTTGGGGCAAAAATGGACACAATATTCAAGCTTGATACAGGTCTGAATTTGGATTGTAATTAAATATTTGATATATTATAGGTTTCTGAATAAATGTAGTCAAAGAACTTGAAATTGGTTATATGAAAGATTTCTTGCTGTTGTGCAATACACTGTGCTGTAGCGTAATACTTAGTAAATCTGTTGTCAGACTATAAACGAATAACATCTTATAACTCGGAACATAAAATCGAAAATTTATAAAAATCAAAAGGGAGTTTACAAAAATAGATATAAACAATTTACCAAAGTTTCATAAAAAATGCTTTATTGTCTGAAAACTGGAAAATCCCCCTTTATGTAATGAATAAAACCCCATAAATTGGAAACGTATAGTCTGAAATTTATAAAAATCAAAAGGGAGCTCATGTCGATAGAAGTAAACAATTCACCAAAGTTTCTTGCAAATTGGTGAAATTGTTTTTGAGTTATTGTCTAAAAACTGGAAAATCCCCCCTTTTTTAATGAATAAAACCCCAAAACTCGGAAATGGTAAATCTGAAATTTATAAAAAAGAAAGGGAGCTCACTTCAATAGATATGAACAATTCACAATAGTTTCTTGAAAATTGTTGAAATTGTTTTTGAGTTATTGTCAGAAAACTGGAAAATCCCCCCCCTTTTTTAATGAATAAAACCCCAAAACTCAGAAATGGTAAATCTGAAATTTATAAAAAACGAAATGGAGCTCACTTCAATAGATATGAACAATTCACAAAAGTTTCTTGCAAATTGGTGAAATTGTTTTTGAGTTATTGTCCGAAAACTGGAAAATCCCCTCTTTTTTAATGAATAAAACCCCAAAACTCGGAAACGGTAAATCCAATATTTATAAAAAACACAATGGAGCTCACATCAATAGATATAAACAATTCACAAAAGTTTCATGCAAATTGGTGAAACTGTTTTAGAGTTATTGTCCGAAAACTGGAAAATCCCCCCTTTTTTAATGAATAAAACCCCAAAACTCAGAAATGATAAATCTGATATTAATAAAAAACGAAAGGGAGCTCACGTCAATAGATGTAAACAATTCACCAAAGTTTCATGCATATTGGATAAAGCGTTTTTGAATTAATGTCCGACATGTTGACGACGGACGGACAGACAGACGGACGGACAGAGGGTCAACGGTATACCATAATGCGTCCCGTAAACGGGCGTATAAAAATCGCAATAATAAAAGCATGCAATAATTTCTGAATTTACAGTATTACATTTGTAGAGCAATGGACAAAATTGTGAGATTAATTATTCTAATTTCAGGAAATGGTGTATTCAAATAATGCTATAAAAATTTAAAATGTGTGTGTTTTTTGTTTTTTTTGTGAAATGCACCTGCTGCATTAATGAAAACATTGAAATAATTATTAATTTACAGTAATGTATTGTATACTGAAAAGATAGTGAATATAAACAATACTACATTTCATCTGTTACGATCTGTATCTTCAAAAGAAACCTCAAACTAAGGTAATAACCTCTGAAATCATCCAAAATTCAGCTTATTATAATGCAAAAGTAAACAAATCACAAAAACTTTGATAATAAAATTATGATTTCATTTTTTGCCCTGGTAACCTATCTATATTTGCCTTAATGTCTTAATGGATTAAAATACTATTTATTATTAAACATTAACTATTTATATCAAATTTTATTTTCGTCCTCTGTGAAGGGGATTTATATCAAATTTCATTTTTTGTCCTCTGTGAAGGGCTAACGTCATGATCAGTTCTTCTATTTGACACAATTACATGTTCACATGACTGAAGTATCATGTTTATGACATAATTAAATTTAAGTTCAAGAAATTGAATGACAGCTAAAAAGAAATGGCCTCCAGACGCTATTTTTTTTTTTTTATAAAAACTTGTGTTCTAATGTAATTGTCTTTTTAAAATTTTTTATTCCGCATCTCATTAAATTTATATACATAAAGAAATATCTCTATATGGAAGAAGAAAAAACCAAAGTGAAACCTGTGCCTAATGAATTCTCTTCTTTGTATTTAAAAATAAAATAAGAAACTCTTGAAATAGAAAACATGAGTAACTGTTAACTGCCAAAAAGTTACACCAAAAATTCTACTTTTTGTTTGAGACCATACAGAATAGTGCATTGAAAACTTATGAGACTGATTTCTGAGTGAACAAAACATGTATTTGGAACGACATTCATAAGAAAAAGGATAATCGAGAATAAAAAGTTTGGAAAGCCAAAAATATAATATGTTTGACAGCATCATATCCAAATTGGCCTTAGCAGAACAGTGAAAACTGTCTAAGTCCACATTCCAGAAGGCATACATCATGTACATAAGGGTCTGGCCAAATCCATTTTTTCTGCAAAATTACCAAATTGCATAAAGTATTCTTGAATGTTTCATTTATGTGAGTTCACAACACTCTTTTTTCCTGGTTTATTTTCCAACTTTCCAACTTACATTTGTTTTCCAGGGTTTATAGAAAATGTATCCAATTCTCTGTCATATTCTGTTCGTATAAAGTCCAAGCAGCCGTTATCACCAAATGCTCCCCATTCAGTGTTTACTATCACCTGTAAAAGTTTACAAACATTCTCATATTAGACCGTTGGTTTTCGGGTTTGAATGGTTTTACGCTAGTAATTTTTGGGGCCCTTTATAGCTTGCTGTTCGGTGTGAGCCAAGGCTCTGTGTTGAAGACCGTACTTTGACCTATAATGGTTTACTTTTATAAATTTTGACTTGGATGAAGAGTTGTCTCATTGGCAATCATACCACATCTTCTTATATCTCATTATACCAGTACTATGTAAAGAAATAGTCATTGTTTCACATTACACTGTATATAGTTAAATAATAATCCAATATTTTTAAAACTTTGGCAGACAAATATTTATTTCTCTACTCTTTTTTTTTCTTTTAAACAATTGTTAGATTAAGATTTAAGATGAACAAAGTTTTTTTTACTTAAGGCAAAAAATTGAGTTTGAATAAATGCAGATAATAGTTTGGGATGAGAACATGAGAATATTATAATTACCTGGTAACAAATTTATTAATTAAATACAAATGAACATTACTTTCTTGAAACTGACAATTTTGAAATATATTTTGCATATTTTAAAACAATTTTATCTGAAAAAAAAACCCATCTATGAATGGATGAAGAACAGCAATAAAAGCGCTGTTCCTTTGCTTTTTGTGTGTTTTTTTTTTTTGCTGTGCATGTACTGATTTTGTGTCATGGATGGATACCCCATACCCTTTGTTTTTTTGTTATCTAAATTTACCACAAAAAAATTATGCTTATTTTGACATCTCCACACATATATCTACCTGTTTTGGATTACTGATTTCACCACCCCAGAGTCCAACATGTTCTAAATTTTCCATGTAACATGCATTACAACCGGTTCCTAAGATTAACCCTATTTCACAATTTCTGTCACTGTGAGCTGTTGACATAAGTGTACCCACAGCATCATTTATAATAGCAACCACTTCCACATCAATATTCTGAAATAAAATACAAACATGTTTGAATTGGTCTATGTTTCTTTAACTATTATTATTATAACTCTAACATATCTTTTCTTTGTTTCCCTTTATTGACATACTAGGTACATGTACTTGCCTTTGGTTTTTTTTCAAGGAGGGGGTTTTCCTAAAAAGATTTAGTTGAGATGGTAGCCAAGTGGTTTAAGTATCCCACTGGTGGCAAGGTGTGTTTAACTATAATCTTTATTGAGTCAGACTATGATTGCTGATTTCCTGCTGAAGGTTGGTGGTTCTCTCAAGGTATTCCTACTGTCTCTATCAATAAAAACTGGCTACCGCGATATATCCAAGAGGACTGAAAGTGGTCTAATTTAGACAATTCGGCCACTAAGGCCCCTAAACTGTTTTTTTTAAGAATTTACATGAGATAAAAAAAAAATTTGAAATAAAAATGGCTTGTGTCATATATGGTAATATATGTAAATAGACAATTTCTGAAACTACAAAATTAGAATTGACCTAGCTGGCTCCCGACAAACTTATGTGTTGACCAAATTAACTCTTCTGTTATAAATGAAATTTATATACATAGGTCAATATTACACATATATATATAATAAAAACCTGTACAGTTTTGGACATATTTATGACACAAGTTATTTTTCATTAAGACTTGCCAAGAGGCTTCAAAATAATATGTTTGGTTATGGGACCCAATCAATTGTGCCACATTTTCTTCAAGAAAAATTCACAATAATGAATTTACATATAAAATTTTAAATACAGAATACAGTAAGTCCGTTATAGAGGAGAAATAGACTTCCCCTTTTTTTAAGACATAACTTTAAAATAAGGAATAAAATATTTCATTCATACTAAATTTTGTTACTTAAGTAACTCTATAACACAAAGTTAATAAATTGCTTCGCCGGGTACAGCTGGATAAGACGGTTATTAAGACCGCAGAGGTCCAATCCTGAACAGTTGGGGCAAAAATGGACGCAATATTCGGGCTTGATACAGGTCTGAATTTGGATTGTAATTTAATATTTGACACATAAAAGGTTTCTGACACAGAATAACTGTAGTCAAAGAACTTAGAATAGGTTATATGATTTGAATTTATATTCGATTTTTTGCTTTTGTGTAATACACTTTGCTGTTGCGAATTGACCCCCCCTCCCCCCACAAAAAAAAATAAAAAATTTAACCCCCTCTTTTTTTTGCTTTTGTGAAAACACTATGCTGTTGCGTATTAACCCCCCCCCCCCCCACACACACACACACTTTTTTTGGGCCAAAAAATAATATTTGAAGAATTTTTCTTTTTACTTTCTGAAATGAGAAAAAATTGACCCCTCCACAATTTCTTTTTACCCCCCCCCCCCCCTCCCCCCTCCCTTTTTCCCCCCAAAAAATTCTTTCGCTCAAGATATGGTCATAATCTCCATTCAAATTTCAAATGGAGTTGCAACCATAATTACCCATTTAAATTTACCATAGTGCTAACTTAATCTATTTTATAATAGAATTTAAAATATGGTGTCAAACCTTTCATATGGATTTTTTTGTAAAAAAAAAGATGCAACATTTGTAGATATTTTTACTGGTCTTCCTTTATAAATATGCATTTCTTTAAACATAATTTAAAAGCAGTGTAAGAGAGGTAATCAAAATGTTGTATTTGGATTAACTCCCTTACACTGCTTTTAAATTGTCTTAATTGTTCATTAACCATTACTTTATACATAATTTAAAAGCAGTGTAAGGGAGGTAATTCCAATGATGTGTTTGAATTACCTCCCTTACACTGCTTTAAATTATGTTTTGTACTTAAGTATTTGTCCTTTAACCAGGACCCCCTTGTTTTTCCCCCTTTTTTGCCCCTAATTCCTAAATGGTTTGAGCCACAACCCCCAAAGCAAATCCTAACCATCCCTTTGTGGTATAATTTCAGAGAGATCCATACACCGTTCAACAAGTTATTGTCTGAAAACTAGAAAAATGCTTATTTTTGGCCCCTTTTTGGCCCCCTCATTCCTTAACTGTTGGTACCATTACCCCCAAAATCAATCTCAACCTTCCTTTTGTGGTATTAAACCTTATGGTAAAATTTCATAGAGATCCATTCACTTAAACTAAAGTTATTGTGCGAAAACCAGTGTGTCTTCAGACGACAACGATGACGCCGACCCCAACTTCATACCAATACCGCAAATTGGGAAATATTGGCGTCAGGATATTTGGGCGGTTTTCTCTGGAAAGGCATGTGTTTATTTTTGGAGTGTGTAATTTTGGTACTTCGTCCAATTGATATGTTTAATTTTAGAACAACAGTAGTGAGCAAGCTCATTCATATTTGCCTTTATTTACCCGTTTATTGACAAAATATCATTGAATTTCTCAAACTAGAAACACGACAAAGTTAATTTAAGGAAGGAATCGGATACGGATGCAATTGCAAATAATTCCGTATATCGTGGTTCAAAGCTGAAATAAAATATGAAATAAAATCTTAAACATTAAAATCAATTTTTAAATAGATTATTTATTTTTTACAAATATCATATGAAATAAATTTTAATCATCTCTATTGCAGTACATGTTAATCTATTGACGATCAAGGATTTAAATTTTAATCCTTATGCCTCTGGCAGTACATGTTAATTAATTGAAGATAAAGGATTACAAGGAGTTTCGCTATTCTAATTACCAATAACGGAGTCTAATCACCAATAGCCTGGCATATTTATGACATGTGTGAATAAAAATTCATATTGTGTTTTCCTAACAATTTCAGAAAATTGACAATTAAGTAAAAATTATATAGTGTTGTTGTCAAAGTATACCAGGTATATATTTGTAGATTTGGCTATGTATAGAATTGTAGGAAATATACGGAAGATATAATAACATAAAATATTTTCCCCAACAATTACCATTACACATTGTCGTACCGGTACGCGATTTTGGCGTTTCAATTTTTAGTGTTTGCTTTATTTTAGTTTGTTTAATTTTGGCACTTTCATTGGAGGCACCAAATAAACCAAAATAAAACTACAACCAAAATAACCCAATTTACGGTATTTTTGCAGTCGTATAAAAAAGTTTAACATGGTTCTTTGATATTGTTAAATGTCATTTTAACACATTACTGACCTTTCTAGACAGATCCAGAATAAAACCTTGGACTAATCTATAAAGAATTGTTCAAATTTTTACCAAAAAATTAAAGGTTTAAGACATTATAGGCCCACTCAACTTGTCTAAATTTCAAATCTCGTAAAGTTTTTTAAAAATTTTAAATGCATCTGCAAGCAAATCAGCTTTTATCCCTGAAACATTTATTGCATGTTTTAGTTTAAGAACGTTGACATATTGTAAAATGTCTGATGTCTAAACAAAGCATAGAATTTGTTTTTCTAGGTTAATCACAAAAACGTGCACATCATACATAATATGTAAAAGTTATTAAACAATCCATAACATCTTAAGAAAATATAACCTTGTCAACATAAAAGTGCATTGCAGCTAATTTCTATTTTATGATAAGTCTTTTTTTTCATACCTAGTTTACAAATATTATGGCATAATATTCATTCATTGTAATATCAATCTTCTTTGCATTTATATATAAGACAACACTGAGGCCTGAAGCAAGCAGCTTTTTTTACGAAAGGTTTGATGAATTACAGAATAGGTGAAAATTTAAATAACTAGTCGAAGATCTCTAGGGCTTCAATCAGGGATTCCAAAGAATTTACAGTATTCTTAAAATGTCATTTGTATTTCTAATTTCATAGTTATGTCTTAAACACAGGAAAGTATTTACCAGTGTACATGTATATTATAAACATGATGAAAAACTAAAAAGTAATTATATAGAAAATAAGGAGATGCGGTATATAATGCCAATGAGACAACTATTTACCTGTGTCCTAAGGATAAGGATGTAAACAACTAAATTTCACCCTATGATCTTCAACAATGAGCAAATTCCATGCAAGATCGTCAGCTATAAAAGGCCCCAAAATGACAAAATGTGAAATAATTCAAAAGAGAAAACAGACAGCCTGATTTATGCTAAAAAAACAAACGAAAAACAGATAAAGAAACAGAAACCACTAAATTACAGACTCCTGACTAAAGACAGGCACATAAAGAATGTGACTCGGTGAAATATGTTTGTGAGAGGCTAGTTTTGTCATGACGGACAAAAAAATCCTACAAAATTTAGAACAGCTGAACTTTTGTTTTGGTCCTAACTAATACATGAATTATAGTATATACCAAAGTTCATAACTCCTTATTAAAATCATGTAGATAGAAATCATACAAGTTAATCTTTTCCGTATTGATTTCAATATTCGTTTTAACTATCAAAAGCCAAGCTGTTGTCTAATCATTGTTATGAGTATGAAATATAATAGATGACAATAATTATTGATTTGATGTTTATCAAAACATGATCTGCCTCCTCAAAAATATTTGCTATTAGCTTTTTTTTATTTTCTTTAAGCAATTACGACATAAAACAGAAGAAGACAGAAAAATGTCATCAATGACAAGACAGCATCATAGCAAAAGAGAGTTTAATCTCCGGTCTCTTACAACATTTGAAGAACTACGATTCTAAGAACCAAGAGTTCACTAAAGATTTCACCATTAGGTATTTTATGGAATAATTGCAACTATGACGTCCTTTTTTTCAGATAAGAACGCAAAATAGAGTTTAAATCTAGACAAATAAAGAGAGGTTGCATTTATATTCTGTATAAAGCAAAGTGTTGCTATTAAAGTATTTTTTCAAAACAAACAAACATCTAAATCTTTAGTACCATTTAATAAAAGACAATGATTGCAGATGTTGTCAAGGATACAAACACGTGATGTTTGTTTGTCCATTAGAAGACAATTGTTTAGTGATGTAAATGATACAAGCACTTAATGATTGTTTTGTATGATAGGGCATTTTACAAAATGTACTTCTATATAAATGCAATTCACATAGGAACTCCTTTTACACTTAAAAGTTTGCCACTTTTATTATAAAGGTTTATGAAAAGTGGAATGAAAAGTTCACATGCACTACTTTTGTTTTGCAAAGGTCAAAATATAGGGTTGTTTGGCCATTTTTTCTTCAAGAAATATGTGCCTTTGTTTCCTTACAATTTAAGTTTATAAATACATGCATTAAAATTTTGTGCTACACCAGGCCCTTTTTTTTAGTCTTTTTAAGAATTTATTTTGACTGCTATCCAACTGCATTTATACTTTTCCCAAGATCTCTAGTTACTTATTAGATGAGACAAGAACATAGTATCTGTGAACCAGTAGGTAGACAAAAAGAATTATTTTATGAATATACAATATCTCCTCAAAAGAGGCCTTATGTGTGAGCAAGTAAATTTACAGTTATTTGTGAGAAGGTAAATTTACAGGTATTTGTATGCAGGTAAATTTACAGTTATTTGTGATAAGGTAAATTTACAGGTATTTGTGAGCAGGTAAATTTACAGTTATTTGTGAGAAGGTAAATTTACAGTTATTTGTGAGCAGGTAAATTTACAGTTATTTGTGAGCAGGTAAATTTACAGTTATTTGTGAGTAGATAAATTTGCATTTGTTTGTGAGCAGATAAATTTACATTTATTTATGAGCAGATAAATTTACTTTTATTTGCGAACAGCTAAATTTTACAAAGTGCAACCTTGTGCATTGAAATAATTTCACCACAGTCACTTTCAATGGAATATAGGAGTAAATTCCCATCATGCTACAAATGATTGATTGATCCATTGATTTTTGGTGTTTTAATACCACTTTCAGCTTTATTGGCTATTTTATTGGTGGAGGAAGCCAGAGTTCCCCGAGAGAACCATGACCTTCAGGAGGAAATGGCAATCCTAGTCACTTGAGATCAGAGTCGAACGCACATTTCACATACGGGGTTCAAAATGACAACCACAGTGTTGACAGGCAGGTGAAACAGTAGATAACTATTTAGAACACTTAACCACCTGAGGCCCATGCTGTAAGTGAATGACAAGGGCCATCATATACTGTAATGTCAATTATGTAAATGACTATTGCACTTAGCAATACAAACCCTTATAAACACTTACATTCTGTCTATTATGCTTATATGAAGCAAAACAAATCCTCATTATGTAAGGCTCATGAAAAACAGTGACACAACGTGATCAGTCACCAAAATAATCTCATAGTTAAGGCTTAAACATGACTACTTGTATGTTTATTTTTCAGAGGAGTTGTTGGTTATTGTGGTCTGTAGTACTGTCCAGTATTTTTCATTAATTCCTATTTTCCATTTAAGAATTATTAATAATACCTCAAATTCATGCATGAGTATAACATAACATACACATAATTATATGTTCCTACTGAGAAAACAGAAACTCCCTCCAAAAGAATAAAAAAATAAGACTGGAATAAAAAATAATTCTGATAACTAACAAGCCATTTATTTTTCTCAACAATTTCTTTGTAAATGAAAGATTTCCTAAAAAATAAACTCTCTTTTTAGCCCTCAATCTTAAGTTATCAGTTTTAACAGATTTGCATGTATTTCCAAATGATTCATGTATAAATTTATGGAAGATTAAGATTTTCAAAGAGAACTCATTGTCTGTTTTGGAATAAGACGGCTGAATAATGGATGAGACTAAACATGAGCATAAAATTGTTTCTTAATGACTCTTTTTATATAGGATTTATATCTTGACTTTGTATTCTTTACAGGACTTAAGATTTTATCTACCAATTAGTCCATAACATTTATCAATACATAAATGTATGCCATCTGATAACATTGCATATATAATGCATTTCAAGCTGTTCTACCAAAACGTGAGAAGAGTCAGCTTGATGTTTGAATAACAGTATATACATCATATTTTATGAAATAAATCTAAAGTTTTTCAAGTATAATACAGATCTGCCACTGCCCAAAAACAAATCACAAAAATTGGCAGTACAAACATTTGCTTGTTTGTTTGTCTTTATTTATAAATGTAGGTCAATTTGTTTATCATATATTTTTGTTTTTGTAATTTGAAGTATATTTAGAGTGAATCGTTACTTAATGACCTTGCATGTAGCACAAATATTATTTACTGGGTAAAAAAAATATATTTTTTTATCTGCAAACATGTCGTTCATGAAGTTTATTAACCTGTACTTCTTATGTCTTTAAAAGTTCAGGTGCAAAGATTACAATCATGATTTGTTATGACATAGTAGACACATCTATCAAAAAATTATGTATATGGATAGTTTACAAAGGACTTAAATTGTTTACTTTAAATTTTAATGGCTTCCTATTCACAAGCCATGAGCTTAGAATTTTCTCCGTTTGTAATATATAAATAAATAATGTTTAATATCCTAATTCAGATTATTCTAGTATAATTTTCTGGAATAATCATTAAATTTCCATGGGAGTTTTATTTTCTATACTTTCTTAAAATTTGTAATTGTTTTCTAATAATGTTATTATATAACATCTTTAACAAAAGTCTTTTTTCACTTTGTTTTGAAACTTGAGACTGAAATCAATATGCATTAGGTATATATACCTGGCCATGTGTCTAACTAAAAAGATCAAATACTGAAATTTCAATTTCTGGCCTTTCCTACTCCTCAAATGATAGCAGGCAAAGGTTAAGAAGGTTACATCAAGTATGTAAAGAATTGTAATGGTATAAAATATAGTATCTTCTTTTTTTTTTAAATACTAGGCAGATTGATCTTCTTTGCAATTCCAGAATTTGCGCAAAACAGCAGTCTTGAAAAAACAACATGATATGAAATTTGCTGTCTTACTCTATAGGCCCTCCGATAATATTTTGCCCCTCCTCATGAAAATAAAACTTGTATAAGACTTTTCTTGTTTTAATGTAACCAAATTGGTCTTTTTCTTAAATGGCAAGATAATATTATTTGTCAATAAACTTACTGGGGTCCCATCAATTTGTACACCATGTCTTTTTTTTTATAGTAAAAAGAAAAAAACATTGCAATGAGGTTAAGATTATAATAAACAATTAATTTCCCCATAGGCGACAATGATAGCCTTTTTCGAGATACAGACTTTAGAAAGCTGATTTTTTTAACGAAACCTTGCTAGAATTAAAGAAAAGTTATTAGGACAGTATTTTTTGGTCCAAAAAATATAGGTTCGCGTTGCTTTTCTTAGCGTAATTTGTACTTATCTCCCATGCCTATCAATTTTGCACTTAAAAATACGTGTCTCATCCTAGCGTTTAAAAGACATCTCAGTTCCGTTAGGGCTAAGGAAAATAATTTATTTGGCCTTTGGTATAATGCAGAATGCACGAAGTCTCTAATTACAAAAAATAACGGGCGCACATATCAACCAATCAGGATTAGCTATACTCTTAATTCTGAATACCATGTTATGCTCATAAAATGGCTGCGCCCATAAAATCTAATGGTGTATTGTAACCTTAAGCTGTCATCCTTACCCCTTTTCTTTTTAAAGCTTCATGTAACAAAATACACAGATCCTCTCCCACTACACCCTCACACCTGAATCCTTTTGTCCATTTTGATAGCCTGGCTTTGGCTAGTCCTTCTTGTTTACATGGGAATGAAAATGTAAAACCTAACGGTAACTTCTCTCCCTTAATGTCATGTGTATTGACAAATTTACAGATACAGTCTGCTATATGGTCAAATAACTGTAAAATAAATCATACATGTAAATTAAATATCACAAATTGAAGTTTGAAAATATGAAAACAGCTGAATGAAGATGGCACTGTTATATAAGACATGACAACTTTAATTTCCATCTACACCAGTGTTCTAGCTTAGGTTGAAGGGCAGAGGATCACAGTTTTTAGATGAAGAGCACATTATCACAGTTTTTTTGTCTAAAAGGAACAACTTGATCTTGTTTATACCAAATTGAAATAACTTCATAAATTAAAGTGTTTTTGATGGATTTATAGTATATAAGGGTTGTTAAAAGTATTTTCTAGTAGAAATAATGTCTTTTTTGCAGTGAAAAGTATCTATTTTCCTTCAGAAAAAAATATGCATGGGACAAGACTATAAGGGCAGAGGGGTGCACAGAAAGGACAGAGGGGAGCACAGAAAGTGCAGAGAAGTTCTGCACCTCTCTACAGTGGCCAGCTTAAGGCAACTGTATATTCTGAGTGCCTTTTATTGACTGATTGATTGTTCATTGCTTTATCTCTAGTAGTAACCTTCCATGCCTACTAATGTGGAAACAAGAACTTAGCATAACTCCTCTATGGAACTGTATCTTAGTGTTTTCTGTAGCGTTCTAGCCTAGAATGCAGGAGGTGGTTAAATCCTCATCTGGGTCAAATTAAAGACTTTAAAATTGGTATTTCCTGCTCCTCTGCCAAGCAAGTGCCTTAGTGGCATTTAGGAGTAAGATAAATGGGGAATGTGTCGATGGGACACAGATGATGCCCCCGCTTGCATATAACTTTCTAAAGGGACATAACTCAAGAACAGTAATAGTGAGTGACGCTACCCAAATTTGTACTTGATCTGAGTTTTGTGGTAATTAGCATTGTGTATAAGTTTCATAACATTTGGTTGAGACAAATTTAAGTTAGAGAACAGAAACGAAAAATTCAGCAATTTTTCCATTTGTAAAGGGGCATAATTCTAGAACTGTAAAAGTGACGCCAACAAATTTCAAACCTGATCTGTGTTTTGTGGTAATTAGCATTGCGTATAAGTTTCATAACATTTGGTTGAGGCAAAATAAAGTTAGAGAATGGAAACTAAAAATTCAGCAATTTTTCCATTTGAATTTTTTCCATTTGTAAAGGGGCATAACTAGAATGGTAAAAGTGACGCCACCGAAATTTAAACTTGATCTGTGTTTTGTGGTAATAAGCATTATATATGTACCAGTTTCATAACATTTGGTCGAGGTAAACTTATGTTAGAGAATGGAAATGAAAAATTCTGTAATGGGGCATAATTCTAGAACGGTAAAAGTGACGCCATCAAAATTCAAAATAGATCTGTGTTTTGTGGTAATAAGCATTGTGTATAATTTTCATAACATTTAGTTGAGGCAAACTAAAGTTAAGAGAATGGAAACCAATTTCGGGACGTATGGACGGATGTACAGGAGGATGTACAGAAGGACAAGGGTAAAACTTAATGCCCCGAATCCACTACGGCAGGGGCATAAAAAAGACTGATCAGCTCTGAGTCAGAATAAGGTGTTGGAGTAGAGTGATGTGTCTTCATGCGGACTGTTACCTAATGTAACCAAGCATGTTAAAAATCTTACTAAGCCTGTTTATCTGGTATAAAGCAAACAAAATTAATACTATCTTCCTGAATATGCACATAATATTTGCCACTGTACATTATGTAGCAATCAATCTATCAATCACTTCTTCTTAGGATATTTAATATCTGTTGAATGGTCGCACACATAATAAAATTTCTACATCCTGTTGGTCAAATGTGCATTACCGTATATCTTTTTAAACTGTCCTAAAACTGGATGATACCCACATATCCTTTAATTAACTTTTAAATGCATTCAGTATCTCTATATTAAAACTGAATATAAATTAAATGGCTTAGTGGATTTAACTTATCCTATTTCTTACTGTACTCATTATTGTTGAATAAAAAAAACATTTAACTGGCATGTCAATAGGACACTAGCACACATTTCTTTAAATACTGGTACTTGCATTTCTACAACAAAGTACATTTAAAAAGAGGGAAATTTAGTTGATATCTGATGCTGTTTCTAGGTGCAATTTAAATTTGTTATAGCTAATATTGATTACTTGACTCAATCTTGACAATCCTTCTCATTCACATAAGAGCAATACATTATGAAAGGACATTAGTACTGGTATCTATTGTTTTGAATTTTTAAATGGTCTATATAACCAGTCTTATATCTATTGCCATAAATATGTAAGGCTTCGGTACTTCCATGTCTAAGTGTTACATACCAGTAAATACATTTTGATAAATTTAGTTAAAAGAAGGTATTGTTCAAATCTTGGAATAATCATATATTATGGAATTAGTGATTATTTTGTGCAAGAATTTTAATTTTCAAATTGAGTCATGCAATAATATGGTTAAAACTGCCGATAACTTATTATTAGACCTGCATTCATGGCTAACCCTTAGCCATACATGGATAACCATTGGTTAGACTTGATATAAATATATCATTACTGTTTGAACTAACCCTTAGCCATGTATTTTTCACAACAAAAGGTTCAAATTTGCTCAAGCATAGTTGATCAAGGAGGGGCATCTGTCAGGGAAGTAGCCTGAAACTGCCTCAATTGTCTTGTAATAGACTCATTGACAAGGTGTTTGTCTGGTACAATACAGAATGTATTAACCCGATTATATATATAGGTAATAATTGACACTTGAAATTATGTAACAAATCTAAAATAATACATTATGTACATACCTGTGTTCCAGTTCCTAGCATGATTCTCTGAGGTATTAAATATGTTTTACTTTGTATGTCTACATCTTTACCATTCAGTTCTACCATCAATACACGGAAATTTGTACCACCTAAATCAAGGGCTAAAAATTTTCCTTTTTCTGAAAATAAAGAACCAACATCATATCATTACTTTTTTTTTCAGAACCATCTTATCTTAGGTTTTTATCTATCATACCTTAAAAAATATTTCAAAGAATTGTCAAAATCTTAACAAAATGGTAATCTATTTTTTTTTCAACCACTTCTGGACCAATCAAGAGTACCTGCATTTACATAAGGGTTTTTATGGGGTTAATGTTGCTCAAACTTTATTCTTCTGTGTAGTGTTTGATGGACTTTCATTGTAGTTTATTTTGATAACGGCATAGTGAATTTTTCTTTACCATATAGTTTTAAATTGCCCCCATAGTATATGCCCCCTTTTTTCAGCCAGTAAGCAATTGAATTTTTAGGATTATATCCTTAGAGCAGGTGAGATGATTTAATACTTAGAAATTCAATCTTCAAATCCTAAATCAAATATGGTTGTTCAGAACATTTCAATTTCAAATGCATTTAAAAAGACTGAAATATTGTTTTGTTCCAGTGTCAATAAGTCAGTTTTTATTTCTAAACCTGACAAGCAATTAAGTTTGAGTTTCATAACATGATAAAAGCTATTGCATAAAATTTTCAATTACGGTACATAGATTTTCAAAAGAAAAAAATTAAAAAATAACATTAAGATTTATCAGAAAACTGGTTCTGAAATACATAGGAATATTTAATGGAGGTAGGAATGCCCTTTACCTTCAGGCCTCAAACGGTCATTTTTGACTACCATTAGCGTCAATTTGGTTAAAATTTTACCGTGATTCATCAAAATATCCTTATCGTGATTCGTCAGAGGTCTCAAATAATTATCGTTACCATTATTTTTGGAAAATATTTAACATGATTCATCAAAATCAGTTGATTTTTTTGTCGTCTAAAAGAAAGTGTACATTTTATCATCATGCACCAAAAATTACCGTTAACGTCATTTGGCAAGAATTTTTACCGTTATTCGTCATGAAGGTACCCCCATTAAGACCCTCTTAATGAGCATACACACATGTTCAATAATCATTTATAAACCTGCAGATTTTATCTATTTCTTCATTTATATGTGAACCTGTGAGTATCTGATCAAGGAATAGAACTATGTGAACCTGTGAGTATCTGATCAAGGAATAGAAATAACTTGATCAAAATAACATTAATAAATTGAAAAGGAGGTGTAAATATTAGGGTCAAAAAGTTTGACCTAGATGATGGCCAAGCTATTTCTTATAAAACACTACCATATTACTAAATACAAACACATGTCTAACCTACTTGACCTACATAGTAACCATTAACCTAACTGACCACTAGAAATAAATAACTGTAGGTGTCCACTATTCAGAACTCAACAAAATAAAAAAAAATATATATATGACAAATTACATCAAATTGATCTCAAAGGTGGACTATGACATACATGCATTTACAGTTTTAATTTATAATATGTACAGGTATGATGAAAAATGGGAAGGAATTTTTTTTCATGGCAGATACAGTTTTCAAACTGAATACCCTAAGAATTATAATGGCCAAGTTGGTCAAAGAAAGTTCAATGTTTCAGAGGAAATTTTCATGATTGTGAAAAGAAGCTAACAGACTACATACAACGGACAGAATAGCTCTCATGGCCCTTTGAAAATTGAATTTGCAGCTATATTACCTTTTCTGAGAATGAAAAGGCTGCCACTAAAGTGCAATGGTAAGAATATTTCACAAAAAAACAATTAGATGAAATTCCACAGCAGTATTATGTGTCATTTTAAATCTAGCAGATGACATATATATGTCACTTTCAATTAAAACAATAAGATAAAAGTGAATAGCTCACTTTTTTCAGGGTAAAATATTTAGTGTGTCCTATGGTTATTTGGTTAAAACTAAATTAAAAGTTGAAAGTTAATATATCAATCTATGTTGAAATAGTCTACATTTAACAAGCTGGTATCTGTTTTAATAAATATCAATCTATAATCAAAGTGCTGGATAGCACCTGTGGAAAGTTTGCAACAGTAGATGTGTATTATTTCAAATAGGTTGTAGATGTGTAGATTGTGTGGTTAACGTTTTTTTCTGACTTTTAAAAAAAATACATAATACAAGAAATAATTGTAACAGGATGCTGTTACTAAGTCTCCCAAACAAAGTTCCCATAATTAGTCATTCCTATGGTCGCCTGACATTGGGCAAAGTCCAGTACAAATTGGTTTGGTCAAGTAAAGCGATATGCATAAGTGACGCCTAGGGATTAACCCTGTATGTCATTCAAATCTTCTTGAAATCATGAAACAGGAATATATATATGGTTTAGGGGTGGGGATCTCAACTTTTTAACAAGTTTTCAAAAAGAAGGGGGTTGGGGGTGACCCCTGTGAACTTCCCCAATATTTCATTTCATTTGTTTTATTGTCCAATACAAGAATATATATGGTTTAGGGGTGGGGATCTCGACCGTTTACAAGTTCTCAAACAGGAAGGGGGTGGGAGTGACCCCAGGGACTCCCCTATATTTCATTTGATTTGTTTTACTGTCCCATATAAGAATATATATGGTTTAGGGGTGGGGATCTCGACTGTTAACAAGTTCTCAAACCGGAGGGGATGGGGTGACCCCAAGGGACTCCCCTATATTTCATTTGATTTGTTTTATTGTCCCATACAAGAATATATATGGTTTCGGGGTGGGGATCTCGACCGTTTACCAGTTCTTAAACAGTAGGGGGTGAGGGTGACCCCCAGGGACTCCCCCTAAATTTCATCTGATTTGTATTATTGTTCCATACATGAATATATATGGTTTAGGGGTGGGGATCTTGACCGTTTGCAAGTTCTCAAACAGAAGGATTTGATTTGATTTGTTTTATTGTGCTGTGATCATCATTGAAGACTGCGCGTGTCTATCACTTACTGTTTTCAAGTTAAAGTCATTTGAAAATTACAAAAAAATTAAATCCCATAGGGTTCTATAGTAAATCCTTCCCTTCTGTAGACCCCTCAAAATACCCCTAAATAGACCCCAAGAGGAAAAGAATAAGAACTGAGCAAAAACAATAAGTCTCCAAACTTTGTTTGGGAGACTTTAAATAACAAATAGTATATATATATACGAATTTTGTTATAGTCCGATTTGGTGAGGCCGATTACCTAATAGGCAGAGTTTGTTATAGTCCCAGTGTGGGCCATGACGAGATACCAGGATACTTTCAATACACTCAGGCTTTTACGTCTTTAATAAACATTTGTAAAAATCGTAGTAAAATAGAGTTGAAAATGTTCATTCATTAAATATTTTAAACACGGTATTTATTTTCTCTTTAACTGGAGGACGGGAGGAAACCCCTGAAACCGGAATTATTGTACTCCCGTCAGGAGGCACACATATATGGATCTCACGCATGTCTGAGGAATACCGATAAAAGCATAACTTAGAAACTGTTGTCTAGTGTAGATGTGTATTGATGTTATTTTCCGTGCAGCGCAGATCCGGGTAGTTTTTTTGTGATCAATGTGCCATTTTCAAATGAAGTTGAATTCATTTGAATTATCGATGAACATTCAGTACATTTTAATTCAAGCTGTAAGCTAATCAAAATAGAAGTAAATCAAAATTTCAAAAGCATCTTCCTAGAATTAGTATTCAAACACTAGTACTACATTATCTAGGAGTAGAACACACATCCTATAGTAAGATAGTCTGTTCAACTTCCGGTTTGAAGCCGATGCCTTAGGAAAGTTTATTGCTATAGCAAGCAATAGCAAGCTATAGCAAACTTTCCAAAAACATATTTGGTATGACCATGGAAGTAATTTCACAGGCCAATAATAACCTCAAGTAAAGTGTAAGTATTATCTGCAGCTGTTGTTTTACAGTGATTCTAATGCTTGTGTTTTAAATTGGTGTTGACAAATTTATGTAAAGTTCCCAGAGGTGATATTTGATAAATAGTAATTAAAATTCGATCCTTTTATCAGTTTATCTGTCTAAATGATAACTGATTAGTGTAGGCCTACACACTTGATTTGATTTCATATTACATTTTAGTGTATCTTATATATATCTGGTATCTCGTATCTTGTATTGCTGTAACTCGTATCTCTGTATTGCCTTTTACACCTTCCCATGAAAAAGGGTTACAGAATGATTGCTAAAAAACTTAGGGCTATAAAAAATGTACAGATTTCTGCAATCTTATCAAGTATTATGACCTTTGAATGCTCTATTGTCATGACCTTGAATGTGTTTACAGACACACTGTCTTTTAATAGGATGAATGGATATTACATAGGAAATTGATTGTTCTTTAACAATTATAAAAGGAACAGAAAATAAAAGTAAAAAACAAGGAAAAAAAATAATTTAACATTAAACAAATGTTTTGCCACAAAAACAAGTGAAATAACTTAAAAATAATTTTAAGTGTCATTATACCTTATTATTGGAGTCTTCATTAAAACCAGAATTTTTTTTTCAAAGGCTAATGTTATGAATGTGTCATTACTATACTACCCAAAATTTTTGTAAAATTAGTAAGGGTTAACTTTGTGTCATTTTAACAACAAATGCAATGAAACTCGTACAAATTTTTCATTCTGTTTCTGTGTTTTGTTTTACATGCATGACATGGGCATAAAACAAAGTCTAGGAATTTTTTCAACATCCATAGAGTTCTTTTGTTTTGCTTCAAATGTTCAGTGGAAAGTTTTCATTGATTTTGTTTTGATTCTATAAACATGAATTTCAGATGACAATGGATTTCAATCCATATAAAATGTGAACATTTGAATTTGATGAGGGTAATAAAGATTTGTTTGTTTTACATTCTAGATCATTTTCTAGGTGTACATCTTTCTGAAATGTGACCTAATTTGAGTTCCTTGTCTCTATATTTTATCTTAACTTTAAACACTAATTGCATAAATATAAAGGATTTTTTTCGTGTATTGACATAAAAGGTTTCATTGAAGCAAAATTTGATTTTGCTTTACAAATTCTACCTTGCCAATAAAAAGAAAAGGT